CTCTGCGCTCAACCAAGCGCGGCGTCGAGCCCGAGGCCCCTTCCCGTGCCCCCGCTGCCGGTGGTGCCCGTCGCAACAACGCCTCTGGCAACGAGGCTGGTGAGTCTGCTCCATCATCAATTTGCAGACCTCGAGAATGCAGACCCCGCTCTAGACCTTGACCCGCTGACACGACTTCTCCCGCCCATAGCCTTCCGTGACCGCGGTGCTGGTAGCGACCGCAACCGTGGCAAGACCACCGACGAGCCTGCTAGAGGCGGCCCTCGTGGCGGCTACGGTGCCCGTGCCCGTGGAGGTTCGTGATGTCCCACTGTCCCCATGCTTCGACGTCGCATGCGTGGAGAAAGGATGGAACTATTGGCGTACTAACAAATACAATCAGGCCGTGGTGGACGTTTCCCCCGTGAGCGTGATGACCGCCAGTCTAAGGGTCTCGCCAGGTAATTTGAACCGAATCACGCATAACACTCCACGTACTTACTCGTCGCAGCGGCTCCGAGAAGCAGGCTGCCCAGTCTTGGGGCGCCACCGAGGGTGAGGCTGAGCGCAAGGACGAGGTTGCCGGCGAGGCCATTGCCCAGGCTGAGGCTAAGGACGCTGAGGCCGAGGCCGCCGCTCCCCTCGAGCCCGAGGAGCCCGAGGAGAAGCAGGTCTCCTACACCGAGTACCTTGCCCAGCTTGCCGAGAAGAAGCTCGCCATCGAGGGCAACAACAAGGTCCGCGAGGCCAACGAGGGCACCAAGCTCAAGAAGGAGTGGGCTTCCGCCAAGGAGGTCTCCCGCGATGAGGATGAGAACTTCATGATCGGCACCGGTGGCAAGACCAAGCGCGAGCGTGAGCGCAAGACCAAGCAGCTCTTGGATATCGACCAGCGTTACGTCGAGCCCGAGCGCTCTTCCCGCGGCGGTGCCGGCGGCCCCCGTGGTGGCCGTGGCGGTCCCCGTGGCGGTGCCCGCGGTGGTGACCGTGGTGACCGTGGCGGTCGCGGACGCGGCGATGGTGCCCGCGGTGCCCCCCGTGGTGGTGCCCCCCGTGGCGGCCGTCCCCAGGGCGCGCAGATCAACACTAAGGACGAGTCTGCGTTCCCCAGCCTCGGCGGCAAATAAATGCCCACCATAGGTCGCCTATATTCGCCCACATATAGGTTGAGACAAATGTGCTCCGACACATATATCCGGCTCTAGTCAACGATGGAGAACGGAAGGGAAGGACCAGTTTTCGGGGAAAATTTGCAGAAAGGATTGGTTGCGTCAAGGTTTCCGAGGACTGGGCCGGCTGATTTCTGGTCGTTGCACGATAAATGAAAGGCTTTTTTCTATCTAGGTACTCATGGATGGTATCGTTCAAAAAAGTCAAAAATGGTCTCGTTTGCATTGGTTTTTTAAAGAGAGTAAAATGTCCCATCCACTATCGTGTGTTATTTGACGGCTGGTTATTGAAATGTTTCGATCATCCATTATGTTTGTGACAGTAAAAGGGTAATGCGTATCGAGGAAGCTCTTATGCCTGTCTGTCACATTCCCATGACGATATTCTTATCATCATCAGTCGGTCTGTCTTTGGTTGTAGATGCTTATCACATTGGGTAGCTTCATCCACCAACGTCGGCCTAGTAGCTCCCCGTCTGAGCTGATGGAACAGCACATGCTTGGCTGAAAGTAAGCCCACCTGACTTCCACGCGAGGTCATCATCTTGTCGATCACTATCTTTTGGGAAAGCTCAGGGTCGTCGAATCAACTAGTGCACGCGAGAGCTCGCTTGTCTTCATACCAACGGATGTTGAAACCGGCAACGGCAGCGACAGCCTCTTACTGTGCTTACGAATGCCTTCAACTCGGGAGAGCATGTTGTAAGTTGTAGGTAGATCCTGGAGAAGACGTTCCTTATCATTCAACAGCGTGGGAAAGCTTGAGGAGAGTCAGCCAGATAAAGGAGCGGCTTTTGTAAAGGATGTAGGTGGTCCATGATACTGGATTCTGGGAGGGTTTTTGCGCGTATAGCCAATTAGGCCGCTGAGATATCGACGACGTTTAAGGCTTTTGTTTTTTTTGCTTTTTTTTTCCTTTTGGGGAGATGGCCAAGGGATATGAGGAGCAGCTACTCTATGTACAACTATCAGATAAGGCTGGACATGATGTCAAATATTTGATGAACCTATTTATAGCGCTTCCGAGGCGGGGCGAAAAGTAGGTTTCTCAGACCCTTCAGGTTGTTGGATGCCATGATGATGATGTCGGTGTTTGGGCTTCACATTCGGCGTGAAGAGTAGGGATCGTAGAACCATCCCCAAAACTCAGAAACCAGCCAGCATCAACCCATACGTATAGCCCTCCACACCTCACTGCTTTGCGGCTGTGTGTTCTAGAGTGAATACGCTGCGACCTGGGGAAAAGACAACCCAGAGCAACAAGCTACTATTCGTTACCTAGTGGTGCGGGAAATGAAGCCACGAAAATGACAACTCAGACCTGACGAAAGGATGATCCAGGGCGACATGCTACCATTCATTAGTGGTGCGGGTGACGAAGGAACAGAAATGACAACACATGAATCACGCTGTATACCAAAGAAGGAGAGCCGCAGCCTGCATTTTTGAAGACGACCAACTCGGAAATTTGGAATCTTTGAAGTTCGAACCAATGCCGGATTAATACTTCCGCGTCCTGAACATCCATCGTGCGGATATGGATATTTGAGGTTTCTGATACTAGCAGTCACGGGCAAGCTTGATGGCAGAATCTTTGGTTGACTAAGGAGTCGATGTTGTCGTGTGGTGTCCTCTCTACCGGCGAGGGGAAATGGGTGCTCCTGACAATTATGGCAAATCCGTTCCTGAACTTGCACTGAAACCCTGGGCCGAGGGAATCGTTTGCCTGTATTCACCAGGGCGCGAAGCAAAGCATAAAGAGATGAGTAGAAAAGGCCATAAGTTCTGTAGGTAGCCTGTGCTTATGGTCTCAAGTGCCATGCAGTCATCCCCGAGAAAGCGTGGGTATTCGATATACAGTGAAGGCAGCGTTTGGGGCCACCTACAGCTAAACTTATGAGTATCAAGTACCTCAGCGAACGGCAATATCATGCATAGCTCATTACATCTTTTGAAGCCATGAGGCATCCGCGTGACTTTGAAAACACCTTACTTATGATTATGGAAGTTACGGCAGATTTTCCTCGGGCGATCCCTAGGCTCGATCACATTCGCAAGGTCTGTGTATTGGCAAAAAGACTCAAGAGGCTACTGGAGGTGTTGATTTCGGGACTTCATGACGCAAATTATTGATGTGCTCCTCGTGATCCAATGTCGACCCGTAAGATTGGTAGCAACGACACGCATTGGCTGGGGAGCAAATCTGAGCTACTATTTCCTTGAAGGTTGGAGACGAGATACGCAATACTGCGGTGTATCTGAACCAGCCCATTCTTCAAACTTCCATTATCTCTGTTTTGTATTCCTCAAATATAGAGTATGAGAGAAAAGAAGATGCTACCAAGTACGCGATCTACAACGCGACGTGGCGAAGACCTTGTAACAGAATAGAGCTCTTAATACAAGCTGATAAATGGTACTGATACGACAAAGAGACGTGCCATTCAACACACAATCCCGAGAAAGAACATCGAGATCTAAAACAACAGTCCCTCGTCAAAGTCATGGAGAACCCACAAAGCATCATCTATTTCCTCAGACAAAGGACTTGACCTACCAACGTTCCTGTTCAACACAGAGGGGTGTGCAATGCCATGACTGTGTTACCGAACATTGAAGAATGCATTTGTCCTCAACGTCTTTGATGGGCTTGTTGTAGAAGACAATTCCTGGCCCATGCGAGCATTGATGAATATATAGAAATACTTGAGAACCCCCAGCCTAGACACTGTAAAAACAACTGGACTTGTCTATCATCCTCAACATATACTGGGCTCACTGACCTCTGACGGATACACTCACTTACACAGGCTCCGCTGATACCACGGTATCAAACCCCTTCGAAATGAACGCGCCTCCTTACATCCATAACTGCGACGATTCCAAAGGTCCCTGGACCGTCAGCAAGCGATGCTCACTCTGCATCCCAGCCCGCCATGACGCAGGCAAAAAGCCCGGCAAGTCCGCCGCCATCAACCACCGCCTCCGCCGCGCCACTAACAAGCTCAAACGCCGCACGCCACCCCCATCACATTCCGTCTGCTCCGAGTGCGGCGACGAGGGCCGCACGACAGTGATACTCACCGAACCAGACTGGAGCCCAGAGCCAGAGCCAGAGTCAGAATCATCGTTGTCCGGTTCTGCTGCTACTACTACCAGCCAACGACCAACTGACAGCATAGGTCCCATGAACGAAACCCCAGCCGACTTCGTGTACAGGCCGCTGATTCCGGGAGATCACGAGTACCGCCACGAGAAACCCGCCGGAGTGGACGAGTGGTTCTGGAGCAGCGGCTCCGGGGAGCGCTACAACACCCGGTTCCCTCCCCCCTCGCTCGCAAAGAGACTGATCTACAGTTTCTGTTGCTTCTGCGTCGTCAGCATGGTGGCGCCAAAGCCCCCGAAGCTAACGGAATCAGAGCGTCGTAAGAAGGAAGAGGAGGGTTGGAACAGACTCCAGCGGGGCAAACGCCGTTCTCGCCCGTGGATCCGGATGAGCGATTGGAAGGCTATCAAGGCCGCCGAATTGGAGGAACGGCAGCGTGCAAAAGATGAGGCCGGCGAAGCCGCTGGTCTCGGAACTATCGTAGAGGGGACAGTGACTGGGGACGAATGCGAATTAGTCAGATCAGGAGTCTTTGATTCGAACAGGCGTACTGCACAGCGGAACATCAGGATTCATACAAACGGAAGGTAACGTTGGCAATCTGCACGAAATCAGGATTAGATACACAGCTAGGCTCATGGGAGACACCAGCATAGCAAAGGTATGTTTCTTAGATAAATAGACAGTTCACAGAAATGATGATGATACATCAAGGTAATAATACGTGTATTTCGTAAGTCATACCATCACTGCTTGTCTCTGTAAAAACGAGCAGCATCAATGCCCAGACTGGTAAAGAAGAGGATGGCATTGAAGGAAGCCATCATGTAAAACGGGGCGCCATTGGACACCGCGTCGAATAAGTAGCCTCCTAGCTTGGTAAGAAGCAAAATAGCTGCTCCTCCGAACCAGGAGTACATGCCGGCGATGGAGCCCTTGAGTCGCACTCGCGACACGGCATCCACGCTAGCGTTGTGTTGCAATAGAGGCGCAGACTCTGGGGAAGTCTCCATGGTTTCTGCTGAGTCTTCGACCGTGTCGATGACCTGAGACTTGGGGATATCTGCAGTCAGAACGCCACGGCCAAGGAAGCCGAGACTGCAGACAATGGCACCGATCTGGCTGATGCCGATTAGGATCACGGTTAGGAAAATGGCAGGGCTGCCGCCTCGGCCGTCGACGTTCTTGTATTCCGGGCTCTGCAACTGTGGCAGAATAATGTAGCCAACGATACCGAAGGCAGTGGCAAGGAGAATGGGGTAGTTGACACGACCGCGTCTTCTGTTGAAATATCCGAACGCAGGCGCAGCAAAGAGACCAAACAGCTGAGCTACGCCAGTCAGGATTGACGAAAGCAGGTAGGCGGCCCGACACTCCTTCTTCAGCTCTGGCGAGGGGTCATGCGGGGAGCCCTGGCAGAAACCGTTGCTGATATAGTAGGTGTTGATGTAAAGGGGGATGAAGAGCGAAATGGCAACAGTGGATGCGCGAGCCACAAAGCCGCCCAGGTATCCCAGAGCGATCTGAGAATCCGTGAAACCGAGAGTTACGGAGTCGCGCAGGAGGCGGAAGTATGGAAGCACCTTCTGTAAAACGTCAGCAATTTCTCCAGAAACATTTACGAGGTAACGTACCGGCCGGGTTGGGTGGTCTGCCCTGTTGTCGTCAGACTCGTCTTCCGAGTCCGAGTTCGTCTTCAGACCCAATAGAGTACTCCAGCCCTTGCCTTCCTCGCCCTTGAGGTTTCTCAACCCAAAGAAAACGAAGACCGAGATCACAAACGCCACAATTCCCACCACATAGAAGCTGTCGGCGACAGCCGTAGCAGGTGTGATGCCGTCAATCTCACCAAATCGGGCGGGAAGCGGGAGGAACAGGGAGAGCGCGACCAGCGCGCCGCATCCTGTGAATAGCCCAACGTAGCCCGCCAATGACGAAGGCCTTCCAGCCTTTGCCTCCTCTCTCTCACTCGCTGTCGCAGTTTGTCCGTCTCCGCCGAAACCATGGAAACGCGCCGGGGTGATAGTCATGTCGGATTCGAGGGACATGGCCACACTGTTGCGAGGATTATGCGTCGGTTTGTTCGCAGCGTCAGCGGAGCTGTCTGAATTGTCGCCATCGTCCGTCAATGAAGGCAGAATGGCCGTTACCATGGTGGCGCTGAGGGAAGCATATTAGCACATGTTGCCTGCTCTCGCTTTCTGTTTGTCACTTACGACGCTGTGGCGCCAATGGCAAAGAAGATGCGTGCCAGGAGTAGCTGCGGGTAGACATTCTTCGCCTGAACGAAAAGAAGCAATGCTGCGCCGATGACGGCATACCCGATGACAGCCACCCATCTCACACCGAGCCGATCCGAGACGAGACCCCAGACCGGACATGCGACAAGGGCAACGAGCTCGTCTACGAAGCCGAGAGTGCCGACAATGTCGCCAACGCCATCCTTGACGCCAATTAGGTCGGTAATAACGAAGGATATGCTGCTGTTGAGGAAGACGAGGAAGGAAATAGAGAAGAGAGATATGCCGAGAAGGTATGTCACTGCTTGCAGCGTAGTAGTTGCCTCGGAGAAGGGCAGATATCGGGAGAGAACGGCCATGATGGAAAAGTCGAGCGCCGTGGTATTTGGTCGGGCGATTGAGTTGATTCTCGGTTATTTGCCGCAGACCACCGTTCAGCTCCAAGCTTACATCTCGCGGTGGGCGGAGGAGATGCTAGGAACGTCGGGCGGTTTCGTTTGTTGTTGTTGATCACAAGGGAGAAACGTGAATTAAGGTAAGAAGTGGGTGGGTAGCTGCGCACCTGCTGGTAGTGAGTGCCGGTGCGGGACGTCGGGTGAGCATCATACACCTGAATTGACCTGAGCTCCCTGCTCTAAACTCCGGTCGAGCCGCCTTACATAAGCCCCTTAATGACAGTCCAGAACGACGACCTTGCAATGACCGCCTCATTATGACCGGTACACACCCGTCCGGACACCCGCTGCAGTGCGGACTCCGTGGCCGCCGACGTCGACAATTCTGGTCAGTAAAGTGCATGTTACGTTGAGGTTTACGAAGCTCCCTCAGCTCCAGAATTTGAGAGTGTTTGGCAATCGCCTCGGATTTACGGATACTTCGATACGTTTTCTCACAATACCTCAAAAAGTTCAACTCCGGAAAGTAGTCTTTCGTTTTGACACCAAACGCCATTGGCTGCTAGACGTTCCTTACGACTTTTGCCTCCATAAATGCCAGTTCCCGAGTGCCATTGTTCATTCCCCGACTCCGTTGCTTTCTCGTGATCGCATCCTCCGTTAAGATATTCTGCCGTTGTCCTTCCAATCTACCATGACCAGAGCACCTTGTGGTGCAGCACGCGAGCCCCCAGTCGTTCGAATTCGAACGGAGTGACCCAAGAGTCGTTGGCCGGAAGTTTGGCGAAAACGCTAGCTCCCTTCCAGGTCACAACCTGCTCGTCCATATCCCTGGCACTTCGACTGACCAAAATGCGATCGAAGAGATCAGGTCGCCGTGCCTTGAGCTTCTCCTCTAGCACAACTGTGAATTGGGGCGTCTTCGAACCACCTCCAATGACCATGATACTGCCCAGGTAATCACGCAGCTTCTTGTCGTCACCCTTGGCTGCGTTGTAAATGCTGGTCAGAATAGCAAGATCCAACGGTGCAGTGGGCAGAACGCCGTCGCGTTCAACTGCTATGGCCTTGGCGCTGCGCGCAGAGGCGTCAACGAACATGCCCGGGGGCGGCTGTGGAACAGCTGTGCCGTTCGGGCCCGGCGTACCGCCATTCCTCACAGGGGGGGCGGGGCTTCCTCCGTTAACGCCCTCCTTGCTTCCGCCGAAAACGAAAGGAGCTGGCACAGGCGTGCTGACACCCTCCGGCGCTGGCGATGGAGCATTGGACCCAGATGGAGTGCCGTTGATGCCGTTCTCGCCCCGCTTCAAGAAGTCAAACGGCTGTAGTCTTTCCTTGACCGGTGTCGATACATCGTTCTGCGATTGGGTAAAGCCATTGGTAGGCGCAGAATTTAATGATGGCTTGACGAGAGCCAAGATTCCAAACTGGGCTGCTGATGTCGGATCGTCGGGGATATCCACGTCGTATGCATTGTATGATCGGTCAAGCAACTTCCTCCGGCCTCTTATCTTGGTGCTATTGTCGAAGATGGCCGGATCATAGAAGCCCATGGGAGCCAGAATGACCTCGTCATACGTCTTGAATTGGTACTTGTGGGTCGGTTGGTTTGGAGCTCGCAGATGGAACTGATATAACTGGACAGAGATGTCCGCTTGCGCCATCGTGCAGTGCTTCATCTTGAGCTCCTCAGCCAGGAGAAAGTCATGACGCCTCCTAAGATTGATGTCTTGATAGGGGAAGTTGTCGTAGAGGAGCATCTTGACAAAAGTCTCCGTCACATCGTAACCGCCGTACTTCAAGTTGATGCGAGAGTCTTCAACGCAAAGGCCATCTTCAACGCAGGTGATCGATGTCTTTTGCGCTCCCACATCAACGACGCAGGCCTGAGTGTAGCCTGCACCGAACGTAGCAGCCATGCCTTCCTGAATGAAACATACCCGGTTGAACTCGAACCATGTCATGCAAGACCGAAGCACCTGCTCCACGTACTTCTTGTCGTAGAGATCTGGGATGACGAAGACGCAGCTGTACTGTCTCCAGGTGCTGTTCTTGGTCAGGCCAAGCTCCTGCCTGATTGCCTTGTCGAGGAGGGTTTCTAGATCGTCAAACATGTGTTCAGCGTTCAGGTACTCATCCTCGTTCATGTATCCATGCTGAATGGGCCACCAGAGCTTGAATTTAGGTTGAGAATCGTCTGGCACTCTTTGCGCTTGATGCCCGATGAAACAAGACGCGGATGATTTGGGGTCGTCGAGATTGTTGACATCGGTCCAGTCGATTTGTAAAGGGTCGTTGTGTGTTTGAATAATTTCGGGCTCAGTCCGGCGGTTATAGTTCAAGACAAGTTCCTTGGAGTTGGGTAGAACTTTGCGCTTGTTTGCGCGCATCTCCAACTTGAGATCGCTGCACATTTTGGTGTACTTCTTTGACCACTCCTCGCCGTATTGTTGGTCTTGTGTCTTTGCTTCGAATTGGCGCCGGGGGAGCGCTTCGTGCATTTCCGCCTCGGTCTGAGGGAACTTTGTCGCAAGTGTCATGGGGATGGACTTTGGAAGTGCGTCGCTGGCGAACCCAATTCGGAGGTTTTGACTGCCAGGGTGAATGACGATAACTTTGGAAGGATCGAGGCCGGCATTGGCATCGGCAGGTGCTTCGTCAGGCTGAAGTTCGGGTATAACGAGAGGGACCTCGGCGCGCCCACTTTGCGCAAGAGCACGATCTCTGTCCTTAGCAGCTTGAACGATCCTGTCGCGGGTGGCGTCGCCTTGAAGTCGCAAAGCGAGAATCTGATCATCGCGCTTCATATAATCCCTGTTGGACGAGGAATTGTCAGCATCGCCGCAATGGAGATAACGCAAGGTAGTCTGTTTTCGAAAACATACGTGTAGTAGTTCTTCTGATTGATCGGTGTGACGTCTGGCCAGCTGGTCTGCTTCATTCCATTGTCGGTTCTCTCCAGGCCTATGGTACACGGTCAGCTTGCCGCTCTAAAGGGTGAAGGACTCCATTTCCACTTACCCTCCCGAAGGAGAACCCTCTCGCTGACTTTGCCTACCATGCTGTCGGCTTACTGCTCGGAATTGGAGCCAGAGAGCGAGCTGGCGTTGGTGTTATGGGTTTCCGAGCGGAAAGGCAGTGAGAATCGCCAGCCTCAAGGTTCGGATAGCTCTCAGCCTCCTACATGCAGCCAACCATCGCGACTGGCAGCCTGCTGGCCCGTGCAGAAAGGTGTGGCTGGTGTCATTGTCTCTAGTGGAGGAACTTGGAGGCCCGTGGCTCAGCACGTAGGGGCGGGAGTATAATAATCCGAGCCAATTCTATTATGTAATAATCTCAATATCGCTAGGTCCTGCCTTCTCCGCGCAGTGTATGCCCAAAGGAACACCGTCGACACGTCGCATGTCACGTCTCGACTCTACCCTACGACATAAACACTTTTCTTGGCGCGGCACAAAGTGTGTCTGGTGGAAGCTGCTCTGTTGACCACATTGGAACGATGTCCACCAGGCGATCCTTGTGGGATCGTTGCATTGAGCGCACAGTTGGGCACAGTTAAGGTCAAGTCAGGTCCTCAACGATACGATTCCTTTCTCTCGTCCAAAGAAGCTTAGATTCACGACTCAGGGCGGTCCAAGCACCACGCGGTGGCAGACCATTTTGCGGCTCCAGAAGCAGCAAACCATTGGTCATGAGCTGGGTTGCTCGGACTCGGCCTTGGATGTTTGGTTGCTTGATGCTTTGCAGCTCAACTGTTGCTTGTTTTGCATGAGCGATCACTGAGTGGATGAACTTGACACGACTTCCGCCGAATCAAGATTTCAAACAACACGATTCGATACCAGCATCTCCTGGAAGCCTTGGCGAGAGCCATTCAACTTACCATTGAAGGTTTTCGCGTTGCAACTGCATTCCTTTGCCAGGATGTGAATTTTGGTAAGCGATGCTGCGTCAGGTTCTGCGACTTTCAGCAGTTTCCTCTATCGACTTTAGTGTATGGCGCCTAGTGGGCTATTGTTCACTTTCCTCTTTGTTCACATGGGTACGATGATGACTTTGTCTCCTCTCAAAGCGACGCGCCCTTCCTCTTTCCAAGGCAGCAATGAGTTCAAGGTACCTTAAGCCGTTGGTACCTGACGTGCTCACCTTCCAGGTCCAGGCATTTGACTACCAAAGTGGTAGGCACCTCACCTTGAGTCACCTGACATCGCCCCAACCATCAAGCAATGACGTCGTCACGTAAGGTTTCGCCTGCCAGATGGGAAACCACACATTGTGCCACGTTTGCTTCATGACTCCGAGCCGACTTCAGACACATCTCACTGAGAACGCTCGCGATCTCGCCCATCTCAACTAAAACCCTCCAACAGCCTAGACATTTCCACTGTTCGCAGGCGCCCAAACCCCACGGCTTAGTCCCCCCTCTCATACCTAGGCCAAGAGCATCATCATCAACCATGCCTGCCATTCCCATCTTCAAGGACACTCCGATCAACGCCTCCAAGGCATCGGGAGCCACTCCGCAAACCGAGGAACCACAAGCCAAGGACCATTCCAATAACGTCGCCGAATTATCGCAAAGTCAAGTCGGCGCACCCGCACCATCATCCACCGGCCAGCAGCCATACCCGCCGGCACAGCCTGGTGCCGCCCCGTCTCTCCCTGTCCAGACAGCTTCCGCACAAGCATATCCTGCTCCGCGCCCAACTCCCACTCAGAAGACGAATGATGTCAGTCCTCCGCCGCCCCAACCAGGTGCTGCCCCCGTGCCGGTAGCGGGTACGTCGACTCTGCCTCCTCCGCCGAAGGCAGGCCAGACCTACCAGCCTCCAGCCCCAACACCCGCCACTACGGCCACCGTTTCTTACCCTCCACAAATGGGTATCCCTCCTCCAACCATGTCACACGCGGCGTTGCGAGGATCTTCCACGTCTACTACTAATGGACCTCAGATGACTGGGCCGCGACCTGTCCCACTGGGAGGCGATCCTCCACTCAGCCTTGAACACCCTCCAGGATATCAGCAAGACGTTAGTGCGTCTGAATTCAGTAGCCATCAAAGAGCTGCTCACCATGCTGCGGTAGCATCATCGGCAGAGAAAGGCTATCAAAGTCAGCCGGAAGAAGGAGTATGGGACACTGCGAAGAAATGGGCACAAGCTGCTGGTGGCAGTTTGGCTGCGGCCGAGCAAGAAGTCTGGCGAAGAATCAACAAAGACTAGCACAGTCAGTCATGAGTTTTCCGTGTCACCGTATCAATCAACTTCACACTATCAAATACCAAGCCCATCACTTTGAGCTCTAGCTTTGAATAGACACCTTTGTGAATATAATGAGGATCGATTCGAAGCCTTGCCATCGGCGTTCTGCGCCATCTTGGCCGGGTACAGCTGGCGATATGTTGTCAGTCTCCAACGGTAGGCATCAGGCGCCTAGCTCTTTAGGCCCCTCACCCTTACTCACCTATTTCCCAGGTTGATCCATCCTAACACCTCGCACCAGTCGACTAACTAGCGCAGGGTTTTTTCGGCTTCGCGATTCCATCATTGTCTCCCTGATCACTTTTCGCGGTCCTGCCATAGTTGCAATTACTTTCTTTTGGAGTAATCGAGATTTGCCCGGGTCACAATGTGGCAGCAGCGCGCCCAAGACCGAAGGCCAACACGGTCTATGTCACTTCCAACCTTCTATTTCCGTCGTTGCCATTGTTGGTGCTAAACTTACACTAACGTTGGCCGGAACTCCTACCTTGTCCAGCCAGTCATTTCCTAGCCGTCCCGTCAGAGAGCTGGAATCATTCTGGCTATGGTAAACATCAAACACATCGATAAGACTGATAAAACGCCGACTAACATAGCGTACTGGAAAGAGTTCATCGCTACCCTGTTCGCCGCCCCTTTTCCCCTTGCGGCTGCAGATGTGATCTTGTCAGCCTCCCCCAATGATCCGCCTGATGTCTGGTACCCAGTATCGAGTCCAGTCGACAAGCAACCGATGGCGGGGTAAAGTCGCGTCATCATTGGTCTATGATCTCCATAAGAGCCGAGCTATAGACAGCGGCCACGGCTGGAGAGTTGGCGTAATTTCCCAAAACGTCCGAGGTTGTTATGCAAGCAAGACAGCCACTCCTTGTCGGCGGCCAGCCCGGAGGATCCACAGAACAACTCATCGAAGGCTCGGTAGAAGCTGACGGCGGATACTGGGGGCTCTTGGAGGCCACCGGCGCGAGACGTTGCATCTTCGCACAGACAAAATCATCAAAGACGGCCTCGTATGTGGTTGCTCTCAGATTCGCACGTCTGATCTAACGGGAGCGTCGTTTGTCCAGATGCTGCTCTACGGCGTACGACGGTCGAGATGGATACCCGCGACCGTTGCCCGACTGAGGAAGACAACGCTAAGTTTCACTAACGCTGTACAACACACAGAGCCTTACGACAGAGTTTTTGACGGACAAGCGATGTGCGTCGTTAGCGCCACGTCAATATTTACGGCGGGCAGACTGTCGCCAACGGATTCGCTCAACAAGCTTTAACAGCACACGGCCTTCTTCCTAGCGACGAATGATGGATGGCGGGTGCCACTTTACGCGTGTACAAGCTGTGCCGGATGGCGGTCCCCGGGCGTCAAGTCGCGCCCGCAATCTGGATAGCGATGGCGGGAGCTGGCGACCGTCTTAGGCGAGGGTATTATGGGTTCTATCAAGGACATCCATGGTTTTAGGAGCTATAGCGGGTGACCATTATATGGATGAACGACTCTCCACCAACAACACGAATAGAGCAGCAAAGGCCAGAGGCATTAACGTGACGCGTGTTATTGCCGCCAAGTCGCCGTAAGTTGCTGAATGATTGGTCTTTTCTTCACTGATTCTTGGTCACAGGAGCAAGAAGTTCCTTTTCCCGTTTACACTGGTGTTCAGCCGGCTTTCAGCCTGACCCATGGCTGTCAAACTTGAGTCTTTTTTGGCCATGATCCACATCAGCTCATCGTGGTAGTATAGGTGCTTAGAGGGGCAACTTTGTGCGCACACTAGAGCAGACGATGGAGCGAATCACAGGCTGCGGGCGGCGAGGTGGGCGCGGCTCGCAAACAGGCGCGTCAATGAATGACAACCCGGGTTGAAAGTGGAGGGAAAGAGGAGGAACAACCAGTCCCGTAGTCAGACGTGTTGGATCGCCAGCCCCGGTGAACCCTCTTGGCGCAACAGCCAAACCGGAGTTGTCTCCACGGAATACAGCAGGCAAACACGTCAAAGGGGAAAACCAGATTTAGGTTGCGACACCCAGAAGGATTGGTTGAGTAAGCGGACAAGTCACGACAAGCAGAACAGAAAGTCACGTCGAAGCAAGTCGACTAGAGCCGAGCTCACACTGGGTTTCGTCCTGAAATGACCAGTTCTGGACAAGTCTCACGTCTCATACAAGAGCCCAAACGCCATCATCTGTGCGGCGTATTTGAATTCGAGGCCATCTTGATTTGATTTCCGTCAAAGCTAAAGTATTGGCAGAGTCTCAAAGAAGACAGTTTTCAAGAAACAACAGTAGATGGGGATGAACCTCACGGACAGCGCCGCACATGTCTGATTTGGGACCAAGCAGGGCTTGTCACAGCTGATTGACGGCCTTCACAAATGAAGTATAGGTGCAAACGAAAGCGAACGGGGTTAGAATGAAGCCGGAGAGCAGCTGACAGTTGCTGCTGCTGTAGGCGTGGCGTGGCAGACGCAGGGCCAGCTGGCCATGTATGGGAGCAAATGGGACGAGGCGGGCATCCAGATGCTAGGCAGATCGATCTTAGACGGGGTGACAGGCGACGGATCACTAAAGTTCAAGGCACTACGGATCTATGTGGGAGGAACAGTTATCTGGTGATGCGGAAGATATTGCTGCACGAAGATGCATAGCATCATTCTCGAGCACCTCCAAACTGGCATCCCTCTCATCAGGACACTGCACGGGACGAGACGGCATATCGTCGTTTGTTTGTGTTCCTCACGGCAACACGATCGACTGCCTTTGGCAGCTGGCAAGATTGTCGAGAGAAGGCCTGGCAGGCCATCGACATACGAAAGGCGCGGAGAAAGCAAAAGATGCGAGAGGCAGGCCGTCCCGGCGGGGATGAGGGCAACAGTGACAGACTCGGAAAGAGAGGGACTGCGGTCAACGGTCAACCCAGTCGAGGGGCTGAAGCGAGACAAGGGTGTGTCGTTCTGCGACAGATCTGAGACAGCTTCTGCCCCTGCTCAACCCCTGGCACAGCCCCCGCGTCCCCGGTGGACTTGCAGTAGCCTGGACCCAATCCAGCGAGTCACGACCACGAGTCAGCGGCGATGGGTGGGATTCCGACACGCTGTACAAGATAGTAGTGTCCCACTATCAGAAGCCGAACAACTTTTCCGTATGGCGTACCGTGGTTCTCTTTCTACTGCGATGTGTCACTGTCAACGCCTGGACATGGCCAATGATCCGCGAAATGGAGAGGACGCTACGGTACGGTACGCTATAGGATGAGAACGAGGCGAGAGTCGGACGAGATCAAAGACACGGCAACAACTGGCCAAAAGTCTGAAGATGAAAAAGCGGCCTAGAAGGCCCAGTGGGAGCATATCGGAGGACAAGACGGGATCGAGACCGGAGAACGTTGAGAGTGTTCGGCACCGAATAGGACGCAAAGTTTGGCCCGTCGATTTCAGAGATGGATCGCATGAGAGAATGATGAACTTCCATCATGATAATCCGCATCATCCATCCGTTCGTAACTTTCAGACTCAAGAAAGTATGGATGGTTGGAGCAATAGGCACGTATGAGCTATGGACGAACAACTTCAGTACGGGCAGAATACCTCACGGATATTCGCAGGTAAACGTGCCAACACTGCAGTCTGCAAGGCACGCCGCACCGTACGCTACAGCACAACACCACACACACACAATCATCCACACACTGGTGCATCCATCATGGAGTCTGACGAGGCACGAGGCACGCCGCACGCCGCACAAGAAGCAGAGAGGCAGAGAGAGGGGACGAGCCCAATGGGTACGTACTGTCGTCAGGAACGGAACAACGGGACAGGAAGAAACCAAGGCCAAGACCAACCAACCCACACACCCGCAGGCTGCAGCAGTGCAGCACCCCTCCTACACCCCCCTTCGACCGCCCCCTGCAGATGCTTACCTCAGCGACAAATCATATCGCGCCGCCGGGCAGCTCAAAGTCAACTTCAAACGTGCTTGCTCCGTGCCACCACCAGCAACGGCAGCAACAGGACCACCACCCTCGCCCTCACCATCATTACCACCACCCTCACCATCACCACCACGATGTCTGCCGACCAACAATGTCAACGATGTTGACGACGTCCCAGCTCCATCATGGCGCACTCATATACCCTCCTTAATTGTCGATTACGGGCACGCCTACCTATGATCTCGTTCCCCCCTTTTCAAAATGCGTCTTTGGTCTGGTAATATCCGCGTGGTCTGGTCTCTCTCTCTCTGTCTCTTATGAATCCTAGGCACAAGAAGGTTTCTGTGCGGCAACGTGTCGTCCTTTTCGGAGACGCGATGCCTGTCGCGTGGACACTCTCTCTGTTCGGCTCGTGCTCACAGTCACTGCTGCTGCTCAGCAACTGCGGTTGACTCCTCTCACTCAACCATGTCCAAAACATTTGAACCCACTCGCTATCCTAGGCAGACAGCCAAAAGATTCCATTTCTTCGATGGACCGCCTCAGGACACCAACAAATGGACTGGCCTGGAAACTGCAACTGGAACTGGAACTGGAGCTGCGACTGGAACTTCTTCGTCTGACCCCCTCATCCACATGGTCCCGAGGCTCCCTCCTCTCGGCAACCCTCCGCTCCTGAATCCCCTGCAGCCCTTCCGGAACGCAGCCAGACAGATATCTGGACAGACAGACAGACGAAATATGGAGAGACGAACAAACCGTCATCCACTCGCCGCAACCTTTCGCGCATTTTCTCCGATCTCCAGCCGTGTGTGCCCTGCATGCTGCAGCTAGTCAAGCTAGCTTAGCTCAAGCTCAGCTAGCTAAATCAAGCTGCGACTGAAGGCAATCTCTCCTTCTCCGCAGCCGCCGCGGCCTCCGTCGCCGAGCCATCAGCCTATCTGTAAACTGACATTTCTCTATGTACGCATCGACCCAGGAGCACATACCTGCATCTGTGCTGCTTTATGCCTGCCGCTCCTGTTCTCGCCATTGGCACAACGGCCGAACAAGAAAAGTGAAGCCCGAGAGCGGATCTGCTGGAAAGGATAGGATGCCAGGTTCATCATGTGGGGAACCAGGGATTTGACAAAACAGGAACAGGTGTCATCCCTGTACCGCACTCGCTGCCAAAACAAGAGCCCGACGTCAGGATTCTCTTGCTTCTCCTGCCAAACACTCTCGTTCATGATCTTCATACCCGAGCTTGATTGGCCCCAGGTACTCATGGGTAAAATCTCAGGTTTCCACACCAGTCACTCTGCAGTCTCTGCCCGAGGCCCCTCCCCATGGCCCCCATGCCCCATTGGCCTGGGACGGGATGAGGGACTGGGCCTTGTACCGCGGCGGATTTACCTTGCAGACGTGCCGTACTCGGCCTACTGACACTCCAGACCAAGTCGTATCGTATCATTCCGATACTGGACTGAGGTTCGTCCGTGAACCCTGTCTTTTCCCTGGTTTCCGCTGCGAAAGGTTGGAACGCAACGCAAAACTCGTCCGCTAAAAGAGACGAGAGAAGAAGGGTAGAGTTACGGACAGGGGTGGGACAAGAGAGTACCTTACTGTCCAGTGTCACCTGTGGTCACTGGAAACTCCCAAGGAGGGAAACCAACAACGATGACTGAGGTGAGGTGAGGCCCGCTCCAGATCAGGCCCAGTCCAGGTGGTTTCGGCTCCGCTCCCACTTCTCAGTAATCATACATTCAGCAAGTTCAACGTACCGGCCGCCGGCTGCAAGCCACTAGCAGTAGCCGTGATCCATTCCGCTGCCTCACTTTCTTCCTCCCCGATGCTCCCCTTCTAGGCTCTGCCCTCTGCCCCTCGGCCCCTGGGGCCATGTCGCCACATGTGGGTGTATGGGATGAGACAAGCCACCTCCTCGGGAACTATTTCCTTCGGATCGCTAGGGTCCTCGCCAATTCTCAGCCCTGAATAACTGACGGCCCTAGTCGGAGACCACCGAAAGTGCCCTTCTAGCTCATACGTCAAGTGCGGTTATCGTCGATACAGGGCGATCTAGTGGATGGCCTTTGGTCCAAGTTTGGTCCTGTATTTCGTCACGACGAATTTCTCTGCTACAAATCCACAGCTGCACCGCCGCCGTGGGCTGCACAATATGGCGAGGGGACGGGGAGGTGAGGGGGGGGCTAAAAGGTCTAGAAGGGGGAGGGGGTCTTGACAAGGTCTTGCAGGTGTATCCGTATGGAAGTGAATGGGTGGATGGGTGGATGGAGAACCAGGCCAGACTCGAGAGTAAGTGAGAAAGGAAGTATTCCATGGCCCATGGTTTGGTGCAAGTGAACCTCCTCCATACGTTATGGCAATTGTCTTTCCTACCGTCTACCCTCTTCCTTTCCGTCCCATCACTACTTTCTTCCTGACTGGCTAGTCTTGCCATGTTCATGGGCTATTCCTTACACTTTTTACTCCCACTCTCCATATCTCTCTTTTTCTCCCTCTGTCTGGGTTTCTCTCGGCCTTTCTGTCCGTTCTTTTTTTTTTTTTTTTTTTTTTTGTCCTCCACCCCCCTCCGACTCTCAGTCCCTCGGACTCTCCACACCACCATCAGCCCTCCTCCCCTCTGCTTCCTTCATCATACTCTCTATCCGGACCTCTCTCTGCCTCTTCCTCAACTATATTTCCCATCACGCTCTCATCGCGGACCCGAGTTCGTGCCATATACATAGTTTATGAGCATACAACCATCATCTGGGTACAGCCCTGTCGGCGTGTTTGATCCTTGTCCCCGTCTTCCAAAAGCAGTCGGGAGTAGGCCGCTCCCTGGTTCATCGGCATCTTACTCCCACACATCCACATCGACGAACAGATGTTACCTTGTCCACCACCATAAGAACCCCCCTGCAACTCTCGCCCTCTCGCTGAGCCAGGCCAAGCAGATTCTCGCACACCTGCCTCTGGCCCCAAGTTCACAGACAGGAAGAGGTTTGTATCAGGGAAATCCGGCTTAGCTCCAACCGACGTTCCGAACCTGACCGTGCTGACTTATTGGTCCGTTCATGGATGATGCTTCTTTTTCTACACTACTTCTTTTATACCTCCAGGATCCGTCTGCACCGCCCCTCGACCTGTCTTCTTTTTTGCTCTCCTTTCGCGTCCCACTTACCAAGGCCTCACTGCCCTTGATTCTCTGCTAGTCACTCCTTTTTTCAAGCCTTGTAACCTATAATACTTTTTTTCCTTTTTCGAGGGGGCTGCCTCTTCGCATCTATAATACCTACTCTCCGGGAGCTGGCTCTCTTCATCCCGCCAGGAACCAGGACGGCCAGCTGCGCGCTCCAACACTCACACACACACACACCTTCAGCCATCAAAGCACCAAACGAGGTTGCCGATTATTGCAAACTCATCACGCTCCTTTACTACGTTTGAGGATCGTACGCATACATACATACAATATAAATACAGAGTACCCAACACAAAGACTCTTATTACAAAAGATCCTCAATCGCGCTGTCTAGCTGAGGACGGGAATCCCTACCGCCTCCATCTATACACCACCCACTAGCCTCATCGCGAGGACCCGCTGTCCTTAACGCTCATCATCGTCCTCCCATCCCCGAGGGAAAGAGACCGGAAAGGTACCAAGAGAAAGCAGAAAGAGAAAGGAGCCAAGAAGGGAAAGGAAAAATCTACGCGTCCCCTGGCCCCAGCAAACATAACCACTCACGTCGCCGTCCATTACTCGTCCAGTCCGGAGATTATTTGTCTCTCTCCGCTCAGGTTGGCCACTGCGCCAGATTCTTCCAAGTAAGTTCCTGGAAGCCCTTCTCTGTCGGCCTGCCGGATCGCGCTCGTCGATACGTGGGCAGTGTGGATCCCCCTCACCCCCCGACTGCCGTCAGATACAACTGCCACCCTTGATGTCCCTCGTCCGAGGATCAATGCTAACAACCCACCGTCCCCGTTCAGCATCAACCCGATAATTGATTAACCGCACGCTCCCTTGTTCCTGTCTAAGCACCATGGACTCTGGTCAGGCACAGCTGTAGGCCCCATCCCGTCCCTGCAGCTTCCGGCATACATGACTTACAAGTACATTTTAGTCGGCAACAAATACACACACCTTCCTTCACCTTCAACCCTAACAACAAGTTCAGAAGAGACGTCCCGCATCGTACATCGACCATCATCAACATGAACGGTAATGATATGCCCATCAAACAAGAGGGCGTGGGAGCACCCGCCGGTGTATGGACAACCCCAACGTCTCAAGGCATGAGGCCCAGACCTGCGACCATCCACGAAGGCTTCTCTTACAGCATGGGCGATGACTACGGCGCCCTCCCATCGTGGGATTCTTCGCCACTGCCGATGCAGCAGACTCCGAGCGATGCCATGTCCCGCCCGGTATCAGTCCATCAACAAGACTTCTATCCCGTCACCACCATGGAGAACAGTGAGTCAACCTCATCCGAGGTTAACCCTTTTGCTAATCATTTCCATCAGACTGGCAACAAAAGCCATGCGAAGACACTTTTGAGTTCCATGGATTGGACACGGAGATGATTGGCCAGGCATACACCACCGATGAAGCCATTCCTGTGCTTGATCTGAGGTACCAGCAACAGGACAACGAACCGTTCAACTTTGACTGCGGCCCCAACCCGCGACGCATGTCTGGCTCATCTTTCACCATGTCCACGTCCGGTGCCCTTTCAGACATGCCTTCGTACGAAGACTTCTCAGCTGCACTGTCAGAGGCGCCATCATTCAGTTCAGACTACCCACCGCCGTCTAACCGCAATTCATTGATGTCGTCGACTCAATTGTCGCCGGTTGCGTCTCCTCGGATGACTCCCCAGAGCCGATCTGAACTTGTCAGGACTCAAAGCCGCGGTCGTGCTTCCCCTTCGCCTCGCCCAGGCATGCGATCTGCTCCCTACAGCGTTGAGCGTGGAACGACAAAGAGGTGGTCGACGGGATCGTACGGAACTCAGCAGAACAGACGTCAGACACCGTTCGTGTTTCATCAGGGGCACGATGCATTTGGTGCCCACCAGCGCATGTCTTCGAGACACTCATCGCCGACGATCCAGCACCAGCAGGTCCCATTGAACTTCACCAATCTTCAAGCCGCCCAGCAGCATCCCTTCATGATGGCCGCCCCGCCGCAGTATCAGAGAAACAGCATGAACAGTATGCTCTTGCCGTCGCAATTGCCCTCCAATGGCTTCCACCCCGACGCTCACCACTTCGAGGCCCCGCCGCCGCTTCTGTCTCATGGCCTCTTCCGCATGCTCCAGAGCAACGCCGATCCTCACTCGCTTCACAGCCACTACACGGATCTGTCCGACCCGCCCGACTTGTACGCTTCACTTCACGAGGAGCAGATCCCACCGCCTCCCGAGGACATGAACCCGTCTGACCCCGATCTTGTCCCCCACGAGCAAGAGTTGCGGTTCGAGGGTGACCTTTACACACCCAGATGGGTGAGAGGTCACGGTAACAAGCGTGAAGGATGGTGTGGAATCTGCAAGCCGGGTCGCTGGCTTGTACTGAAGAACTCGGCCTTCTGGTACGACAAGTCGTTCACCCACGGTATCAGCGCCGCCACGGGCAACCCATTCCAAGAGCCTCAAGAAACGCGACGAATGGACGGGAACCCGGATGTGTGGGAAGGTTTGTGCGGCAGCTGCAACGATTGGATTGCGCTTGTCAGCAGCAAGAAGAAGGGTACCACATGGTTCAGGCATGCGTACAAGGTATGTGGCACGGCATCGATCGTGAAGGGTCTTTTATCGTTGCACAGCAGGCTAACATTCATGTAGTGTCACACCCACCCCAAGATCAAGGATGCGCCAAAGCGTCGACGTGAGAGTAATCACAACCGCAACCTTGCAGCATCTCAGATGGCCAAGCCAAAGGTTGAGCCTCAACAGCCACAGCAAGCACCTCCGATGCCGCAGCAGACTCCAATCACGCCTCAAACTTCGTCGGCATCCGTCACAAGCACGCCTACGCCAGCGCAGATGCAACAGCAGCACCAGCACCAGCACCAGCACCAGCATCAGCATCAGGTTCAACAACACCAACACCTTCAACAGGTGCCGCCGCCCATGCCTCAAATGAACCAAGGGCAGATGGGTCAGAACCAAGTCCAGCAGAGGAATGTCATCAATCCTATGGAAGGCATGCCTGGCATGATTTGATGCGGTTCCTTGATCTTGATATGGCAGAGAAATAACACAAACACGACTGATACCACTTTTCTTTTCCTCCTGTTTTCTCTTTTCCTTTGTCACGCAGACTTACCCCCGCCGCAGCGCGTGCCTGTGGTACACTACCGAAACGTCGTCACGAAAAACAACGAACCTTTTCCTGACCTACCTTTTTATAGACTTGGGCATCACGGGATACCTTTGGAGGATGGGACAAAAATTTTGGGGATGGTACTAAAGGGTGTTGGAATCTTTTTGGACGAGTCAAGAAAAAAACAAAAGAAAAACTCCGAAACTACTTCCCCCGGATGACAGAGAGAGAAAAGGGACAATGTGTCATGACGATTTTCCAAAACAATCTTACTACCTTTTACCTCAGCACCACCACAATATCCATCACTACAACCATCCACGATTTGATCTTTTTCATCTCCTTTTCCTTTCCTTATCTCGAGTTCCGCTTCCTGACCGACGTTTCTGAATTCATTTGAGCACGACCACCCCATGTTTTATGCCCCGAAAGAGGAGGATACCAACTGTTTGGTTTCGCACGTTGGCCTTTCCAGCCACGTGCAAAACACGACACCAGAGTGCAGGATTTTCTTAATGGCCCAGCTTCATCACTCCATCAACAACCAACGGAAGAGACATTGGAGGGGAAATTTGGAGGGGCAAGTTTTGTTCTGTTCAGTTCGTTCGCTTCTTCTTTTCGATTCTCTGATTCTTGTTCAGTCCTTTCTGTTTTTTTGGTTCTTTTTTTATCTCTATAGTTTTTCTGAACCGCCCCACCATTCCCTTTCCCTTTTTTACACGCTCTTCCACACCAACTTAATCGTAGATAGCTAAATAGTGAGACCCCCAACGACTGGATCTGCAGTCGTAGTTTTGAATTTTTGAGGAGGACATACCAATGATATCAAGGGGAGGAAAAGGTGGAATAGGGAATAGGAAAAACCATGACTTGGACTAGGGCGAAAAAGGCCGGGACAGGAAGGAAGTGGAGGACAATTTTGTGGCAACGGTCTCGAAGGACTGTTCTGGAGGAAGGGGGATGGGGGCCAAAAATGGGACAAAATTCGTTTGTTATCGTTGGGAAACAAAACCTCGAGGGGGCAAAGCCAGTACTAGTTAGATTTTTTCGTTTAACCTGCGCACAATGAGGAATACACGGTCATTTCAGAATGAGGTCTTTGACTATTAGTGAACTTGGTGATACAGCATCTCACAGATATCTTCAGACTGCGTATCACGGATCTTGAGTAAGAGTGACATGGTTGTGCGATTTCCGGGCTCTGCTGCATCTCCCGAGAGGAACGGGGAAAACTACAGACGAGATGGACGGCCGGTCTCACGGTCTTTCGCCGGCAGTTGGAGGGGACAGAGGAGGAAGGGGTTCCTGATCTATTCCGTCAAAAGACTCGGGAGTCACGTAGGACCCGATCATCTCTGTCTCTCGTGTCGAACTGCCATGCCATGACTCCTCGACCCCCGCTTCCTCGTGCCTTGCGCCGCCCCCTCTTAGTCAAGAACTCAACGCCCACTAGCACCAACCGCTATCAAAGCCATATCCCGACCGTTGGAATCGCGATGGTGGATGGACGGGGCTCGTGGGAAGACCGAGAAAGATGTGCCGCAGAAACACATGGAAGACAAGATAGGGGACATGGGGAGTCAGTCAGGGGGGTGGAAAACGGCGCGCGGGATGGGTTCAGGGGGTTTTCTTGGGCATGCGTAGTATAGACTTGTAGACTTGTCGAGCTGGGATGGAGGGGGACTTGAGGACGTGGCATTGCCCAAAGGGGGAAGGACGATGAGCAGCAGACGAGGGAAAGGAGGAGAAGGCCGGCGGGAGGTGATTCGACTTTGACGCTGCGCGGGATCCGGGGACAAGGCAGGGATAAGTGCAAGTCGTGAGGGACCCCCCGGCCCCCGACCCCCGATGCCGATGGGTCGAAGATCGGTGGGGTCCTAAGAGGGGCAGGTCGTTTATTCACACATAGCCGGACAGTTGGCACTTTGCAGAAGATGGGCCTGGGCCAGAGCCAAGGATGGGTGAATGTGCTGCGGTCTTGGGGTTGGGCAAGGCGTGGGCAGTTGGTGCCGCGTTTTGTGAGTGTGTGCTTCCGTGTGGATATCTGTACATACTGCGCATGCTTCCCGTACCTACATATCCCGTACCCTGCGTGCGTCTTCTCCTCCAGTGCCTGGTCCAGGAACGCGGTCAACTGCCGATCGAGACTGGTGTGGTGGGGGAGAGACGGACGATGGGTGGTATTCCGTAGGACGACGACGTTTTCTTGGCTCTTTGTTGGGTTCTGCACTACTTGATCTCCCTTTCCCTTCACTGTCTGGATTCTGGAGTGAGGAGTCATAGCCTTCTGGGGGGTTGGGAGAACCGCGAGAAGAAGCCTCAATGCTCGTGGGTTTACCGGGGTGGTGGTGGTGGTATTGCAGGGGAGTTTGGGTATGTGGTCAAGGAAAGCGGGTATGTGTAGGCTACGGATACCACACACACACATTTACTCGCCCACGCACTTATTATGTACATGGGCAGGTACGGCAAGTGCTTGTCATCGTCGAGGGACCACGCTACAGTGGACGAAAGATGCCAGGGGTTTCCGGGTTGGGGGCAGGGGGGAGGAAGAAGATCAGACCAGGAACCGGAACCAGACTATACTACGATGTGGTGTTAGGCGCAAAGCTGAACTACAAGGGGAGCCTCCCAAACGGAAACCCGGCGTGTCCGGTGGAGGTGGACGTGGATGATGCTCTTCGCCCCGGAGGAGGAAGCCGGGAGGGGCACTTCGCTTCGATTACCTGTCCGCCATGGAAGGGGGCCAGAGGGCATGAAGTATGACTGCGGGTGGATGCTTTGGACCTTCCTTTTTGCTATGGGCTTGGGACTTTGGAAGGTGGTTCAGCTGGCAGGGGGATAGACACCAGCAGAGCGAGCAACCTATGGATGTTTTGGGCTTGTGGTACGGGTGTTTGTGTGATGGCCATGGGGAAGAGATATGTTCTGTTATGCCCGTTACAGTGCTGGAAGGGAAACAGAAACGACGTTTCGTCTCTTACACAAACGCTCTGGCACCGCACTTGAGGTGACGGCGGCTACTGTGACAAAACATTGCATAGTTTGGACGGAAAACCTGCGCGGCGATGTGATAGACACACGACTCGACGTGTGTTAAATGGATGGGCGCCGTGAATCATGGCTGGCCGATTCGACGGACAACCGGGGGCCACTGATCTTTGGTCTTCGGATATCGGAGAACGGCCGCTCCAGCTTTTCCTTTACCTTTGCAACCTCTGCCTGCCTTCTTCTCCTACTCTGTCGCCCGGAGAGACCCCGGGTTTGACAGTCCTTGTTCTCAGGGATCTTCCAGGAACCTCGGTCTCTAGCAAGAACTTCCTTCTTTTCTTCTGCGGCTAGTGTGATCTCTCCCCCGGGTCCCTGACATGTCTTCGGGTTCTCACTCGTTCTATGGACCATTTGCGGTTGTTTCGGTTCGGCGGAGCATCCCAGAGAAAGAGTCTTTACATCCCGGAAGAAGATCCATTTAGGCAAAGGGCAGAAGATCAACCAAGAAATTCTGTTGGTTCGTGACGAGTGCGATGGGAAAAGGAGCAGAAAAAAAAACCCAAGAACCACCTTCACTGGACCCCCTCCCGAAAAAAGGAGGAATAGGAACCAGAGAACGCAAAGAAGTGTTCCTGAGAGGGCTGCATGCGTATGTGCGTAATCTCCCGGAATTCATGCATCTCGACCGGGAGACCCCGCCATTGTTTATATATCCTGTGGGCTGTACCAGGGGGGAGGACTCTGAGGAGGGGCAGCGCGCGCCGCGCACAGGCTTTTCCCATCTATTTTCCGGGCGCTGGCGGGGGTGAGTGATTGGCGGGCGATCGTGCTTATTCTTTTCTTGCCCTACGAGAGTATCCATATTTACCATATGGGACACACGGCAAAAGCTGCAGAAAGGGGAAAAAGTGACGCAGAGTACTGGGGGGTTTAAGGAAGAAGTGGAGAGAGTTGTATCCGTAGGTTCAACCGTTGGCCGCCGTCGGCCGGACGAGGTTCCAAGTTTGTGGTAAAGTCCCGGGCCCGGTGAGGGTAGGCAGGTAACTACCGTAGTCCGAGGTCGTATCCGGATTCTCTTTTCTGCACGCAGTGTCGGCTGCGGGAGGGGAAGGGAGAGGAACGGTGGGATGTTGCCGGGAAGAAGGGCAAAAAGGGGGACAAGCTACATGCTGGGGTCATTGACGATTCACGAGGCGGTTTTGGCCTTGACGTCGATGTCGTGCTTCCTGCGTCCATTCCCTCCCCTGCTTCCTAGGTAGACCCAGTGAAGCTTCTCCAGCTATCAGCTTGCGAGGTCTCTAGCGACGCTGCAACTCTCGCATCGCACGATGCCCGAGGATTCAAGCAGGGGGAGACTACCTCGGAGCTAGTGATGGACTCTAGGAGTTGTAATGTGAACATAGACGTTCGGCGTTGGCTCGAAAGAAGCCAGACCCAACCAATTACGTTCAACTGCAAGCACTTAAAACCCCTTGCAGCTTGCAGAGACCACGAGCCAATCGTCTATCAGCACGACACCCTTCTCAACCAACTCAGTCCCCAGCCACTTCGGAAGAGGACCCCTTCTCCGTAGCATCCAGGAACACGGTCACAATTGCTGCCGGGAAGTCATCTCATCCAATCGTTTGCTTACGAATATTTCCTCATGTCACGATCTAAGCTGGTCCTCCCCTGAACTCTGATATAACCTTGATTTGCGATTTGAGTTCATCGCTAGGGGGGCTGTTTGAACTCTGCTGAGAAGATGCCGCGCTTTTCTTACGTTTTTGTTTATTCTCTTGATTACTCTCCTTCGCGTTGTCGATGAAGCCCCAATATCGCATACATGCCTTATTGCGCTGAGGCTCTGCTTTTTGCTCGAACGTTTTGCCAGTGTTTGACTCACTTGAAATTCCTATCATGAGTTTCTACGATGTCGTGATGCCCCAACATTCGATCATAATCTCGATGCAGTCGGTCATTCTGGGCGTCTAAAGACTGATGATTGTTAGTAGGATTCAAGAGATTGATCACGCATTGAGTGCATAGGTCGTGATTCATGCAAGACCCCTCGCGTTCACAGAAGATGAATGATCGCTGACAATGTAGGCCTGTTTAACCTCAATTCTGCGTCCTGATGCTCGTGTCCGCTAAGATACGCTTCCGTCGCGATAGTATGGCCGATGAGAAGGTCTACTTGTTATTGAAACTCCTGACTGGGCCGAGTTGACGTGGGCCATCAGACCGAATCTATTCAGCGCGGAGTGGTCCAAAATGCAAGATCCTTTCGACTGTGTCGAGGACATGCATCTCTCCGACGCTTACACTGTCATGCTCGGTGATAATGTATCGCCGTATCGCGAGGACGACGTGACCGCGAAGAGGTCCCACATCGCACTGTTGGGATGGCCGCAAAGGTCGATTGTCAGACCGAATCTATTCAGCGCGGAATAGTGTCGAGTCTGGCCATGAGGACGCCGCGCAACGCCGAGCCCAGGAGGACGAACTTGTAGATATCCCAAGATGCAGATGACAGCTGTTCTGACTTCCGCGAAGGGCCCAGAAAGCACAACAGCTGGCCACGACCCAGGCAAAGCTTTCGCTCGACCAGACATTGGCAACTTCGGCCACGTTCGAGCCTTGCATCAACAAAAAATGATGAATTCTGTTGCCATGGCGCAGTGGGAGGCAAGACCACGGCAATATCGCTCGGAAGTTTGTCCCTCAGCTCAAGAAGAGAGGCATCTTCGTGACGGCCTTGGGCAACCAGAGACAGGAACGATTTTCTGAGGAAAAAGAAGCACAATACGTTATTACCAATTCAGCCCTTGCCGCTCGTACAGAAACCAGCATTGGCTTGGGTTAGACGAGGCGAGTTTTGCTTGCGAAGTCGCATTCAATTGTGAGGAGCTTCATTTTGCCGCACCGGGCCATTGCTAGGCCGTACCTGCGTCTACCCCTCCATCGAGGAGCCTTTCGGGGGAGAGGGTACGAGGCAAGACTGCGCGCTTGCGTAGAACGATTTGCCGACCGAGGCGAAACTAGGTGAGAAACGTGTAGCAGGATTCCTCAACGTGATCTTGGCAACAGCAACCCTGAGACGCTGCAGTTCTGCAGCCGCGACCGTTACGATCGTGAAGCAAGCAATCTCGTGTAAATTCTACGTCGTGCTTTCTCAAACACGTTGACACATTTCTAGGTCAACTGAATATGGACCGCCGGGCTGCGTGTCTGGAAGTTGGCATCTGGGAGAGGGCGGCCGAAACAGAGTGGACAAGAGAGGTCACCGACTTCAAGCATCGGGTGTGTGATGTTTGTTGCGGATTGCCATCCAGTTAGGGTACTCTTAAGGGGCTAAGATGTAGCCGCCCAGTAGCACAAACTTGTTCCGCGATGGCGGCGGTTGTCTTTGGTCATCTACTGAGTTGGCAGAAGAGCCATCAACTCATCATAGAAAGGAACCAACCGTAAGAGAGTTCAGCTACCGAACAGATAGTTCGGAGTTGAGATGGAGACGAGATCGCTACTGGATGTCGATGGTTGAGCCACCAAAAAGAAAGTGTCTCAACCCGTCTATCCTCTTGACCCGGGTCCGTTCGGCAGATGCGCACTACATCTTGCAAGTTCCAAACCGTCTGAAACTCTGGACGACGGACGAGGGGAAGCAGGAGCGGGAACGTCTAAAAGAGGCTCGTAGGTCCGAAGCTCAATCGCTCCATCGGATATCGGACGGAAAGCTGCCCGGTTTTGCTCGCGTTGTCTAACCAACCGATCGATCTGGGGAGTTTGAAAGATGAGAAAGATTCGAGGTTTGCCCAGCGAGGTTTCAGGCGTGCAAAGAGAACCAAAAACCTCCCTGCCCCGCCCCTGGCGAGGCGTAACTGAAGCGAGCTGAGGTCCGGCCCCGAAACAGTGGGGCTCTAACCGGAGCGCGGAGGGAACGGCGCAGGTCGGGGAATAGTGTGGGCATCATCATCGTGACGGTTCACGGCTCGCCAAAGTTTTGTAGGTGAGACGATGGGCGGATAATTGGTGATACGGCAACGTGATCGAGTTCCAGAGGAGCGCCCTTTTTCTCGTTCAGCGCACAGATGACATCCTGTAGTCTGGTGCTGATGCAGGCTTGCAGGAGGATATACGAGTACTAGTTTTCAGTAGCGCAGCGCCGCGTTGACTCACCAGTCTTGCCGCTTACATGCCGGGGCCCTAGGAGTTTCTGATGACCTGCCAAACACAAGTTCCGAGACTTCGACCAGTGCTGGTTGCTAGGTTATCTCTGGGGGGGAGGTATCCGTGGGAATGGTTTGGTGGTGGACTGACGTGATGTGCATAACATTGTAAGAAAGATTGGCTCGGTGAGAGAGAGAAGGAGGGGAAAATTGTCTTGCTCACAGGGCTGCAGAGACTTTCTGCATTCGAAACTATTTCGTCATGACTGCATCGAGCAACAAGGTTCAGACTCGCCGCTGTGTGGATGGGCATTATTGAATGGTATTTGGCAGCTGTCATATAGGTTTCTACTGCAGTTTGCAGACTTGTTGGCTCGTTTTTTGACAGATGTCGCTCATCCTATCATCGCCTGCCCGCCATACACCTGCAGTAAGACTACAGCGAGACTACAGCCAAGATCGGCATGGCGCTCTGCAAGCTGTGCCTGCTTCCCTGTCCAAAGGAGCGAACGGGAGAGGACTGTCCTGGAGATTCCCTCCTCTCCTTCTCCCTCGCTGGCTAGCCAAGGTTTGTGCCTTGCCGTGTAGCCCCCCCGCCTTACGGTGCAGTCGCGAAAGATATGGCTGGCTTTGGTCAGGTACCTTGCATGGGCTCTCTGCAGACGATCCTTCCTCGCATCGCATTCTACATTTCGCTTCGATGGACAGCCGAGCCCCGTTGCAACCAGCAACCGGCTAACTTGTCTCGGCAACCGCATCAGCAACTGCCATCAGCAACTCTTGGAACAGAGCAGCAAGAATGCGGAAGCAACTTGAATAAGCTATCCTTACAGATAGCTGAGACGTAGGTGGTGACTGTCACCATTCTCAAGGAATGTATGAATCGAGGTTCGGAGACCGAGCGAGTGAGAGACGGGAAAGACCAGGGAGTATGTATAGCTTACAGGGCTCAGATCGGGGGGGGCAAGTCAGGCCAAGATCAGGCCAGGGCAATTCCCATGTGGTTAGACGGATGCTGATTTGCATGCCTTTGCTCTCATTTCCCTCCTCCCCATCCCCGAGACATGCCCATTTCGAGCAGGAACATCCTTGAACCGGCCCTTTCTTCAGCCTCCCTACTCACACAGAGGACCTGGAGGGGGGTTCATCGCCTATCTCTCGTCGACAAAAGTGCACAGAGAGGTACACCGTACATGAGCTGCTCTCCCATCGCCGAAGCAACACAGCAGTGAACGATAGCCACTAACAGTAGTACATTAGCTGTGTTAGCCGCCGCCCAGATCAAGCACGAACCTCAGCAGACCACCACACCACCCACCACTGTGCCCGTGCCTGGCAAGCCCGTTCATGCCATCTGATTGCGCCATTCCCTTTAGACGGGGCCTCGAAGGTCGTTGGTTCGCTGTATTCTCTGGCTTGGCTCCCCAGGACGACGACGCCGGTCGAAGCTTGTGTGCCGCCCTCATCCCGTGTTTGCCCACGTTGAAACCCTAGATAGGCGCTGGCGTCTGTCCAAGGAGAAGAGGATCTCGACAACGACACATCTGGTCACCAAGGAAAACAGAGACTGCAGGCAGGGTAAAGAGCCCCCTTTGCAGTTGGTACCGTGGGCTGTTTCAGTTGGCACAAGTTGCGCTCTGGCTCGGCGACCAGAGCCTACAGAGTATCTTAGTCACAACCTCTGCTATCTGTACTTGCCCATCACCAAACGCTACAGCTGTCAGCACAGGTGCCCAAGGACACCCTTCCGGCCTCCTTGTTAAGCCACGTTGGCCTATCTTTTCCTCCATGGCGTTGGCCGAGTTTCCCCTCATCGGTCAGCTTCTAGCCTGGAAGCCAACGCCGTTAGGGGGCGTCGTGGCGATCTGGTCAGACTGGACTCAACACATGTGGCTTTCCCTTTGGTCTTTGTCTTCTGTGGAAGAGAAGCCAGAGAGAAAGAAACAGAATATCTAGGGTAAGGCACGTGTAGTCAGAGATTGTTTCGTTTATCTAATTGGCCCTATAATCTAATTACGAAATAGCAGAGCACTTAGCAGTCTATCCACCGGGAAGCTCCCAGCAACATGGGCAGTCAGTCGGACGAAGCGCCTGTAACTTTCGCATCTGAGTTTTAATGGTAAATTGTAGGCGAGCAGCGAAGTCTCACTAAGTGCGCTGTGCTCTCCTGGACAGTGCTCCCATCCCGCTATCTTGTCAAGCCTCGCCCAATGAGATATGCTTACTGCTAGGGATACGTACCGACCCACGACCTTAACTCGAGGTACTTCCTTGCATTTCCACCCCAGGTTGTTCCTCTCTGTGTATTTCTGCATCCCTACGGAGATGAATTAAGGAATAAAAAATAGCCAACTCCAACGAGAAAGAGAGAGAGAGAGAGAGAGAACAGGCCATCTCTACCTACCTTGAGGTACCTTGGCTTGCGGCTTGCCATTTGCCATCTGCCAACTGCCAATATCTACGTACCTAGTACCTAGCATTGAGGCACAATTGTGCGCCGTCCTGAGGTTACCTTTCCTCACCTGGTTATGCAGTACCTTGCCATTAATTACTGCATCGGCTGCGGCTGCTGCTGCTCTTAGGTACCTTACCTGACCATTTCGTTTCCCAGGTGTTGGTCTTTTGCATACTCTACCTATCCTCTCCCTCCCACAAAGTGAACGATTGGTTCCTGGACGCTCCTTAGCACTTCTTCACCATCTCTCTTCTTCCCCCTTCTTGTGCTGCCTCTTCTGGATTCTGCCTTCTGCTTGAACCAGGAAGCGCCCTTCGCTGCAGACCAGTCTTCGCATCTGCCGTGTTACGATTCTGACGACTAGATATTTCATCTGCTTCTGTAATCACGCTCCCACCGCTCTGCTCTACAGAGAGTCCCGATACGCTTTCTGCGCCGCACCTCACGGACCTCCCTTTTCACAAACTTCCCCTCGACTCCCAACCTCCCCCAGGCTCGAGTTCCTCCGACACCTTACGCATACAATCCTCTTGCTCACGCCAGCTCTTCGCCATTCGGTGTAATCAGTTTTCTCCCCATGAAATTGCCATCTTGGACCTTCTGTAATGATCAATGATATACGCATCTGACGTCGCCCCCGCCTGATATCTACCTACCTACCTATCTACCTACCTACCTATCTACCTACCTCACATTCACCAACCGACCAATCGACAGCACTCGTTCTTCGCTTCCCCCGACCCCCAAGCCGCCGATTGCACCCCTGGTCTTCCTTTGGCTGTCCTCTGAACTCCTCGATATCCTCAGACTTGCACAATACCGTTTGTTAGGGTGGTTCATGTCATGTTCAAGTTAGGGTTGTGTGAACTACAGTAGAATTGCTATGAGTGGGGATCAGCTGGCGTCCAGGCAAGAATTCTACCAAACCCGCCCCGTTCACGTTCGTCTTTCTGTTTCTGCCTCTCAACCAGGTCGCAAAGATTGGCAGGCCGGACAATCTATCAAAACACCATTTTGCTAACCAGAAACTCTGACAACAGCTTTGGAAACCCAAACGCTCAGCCGCCCACCCCCAAACAGACTCCCACCTCCGCCGTTTTCCCGAGCCCCGTTTTCGAAACTCCCAAGCAGTCCCAGGGTCACTTTGACGACGCTGGCGGTTGGACGCCTCGCTTTGCAGAGGAATACTCCGTCTTCAACACAACTCCAGGTAACCTTCGAGGCTCTCCGGGGTCATTTCCCGACTTTGCCACAGGTGCTACTACCTTCCCTGCTTCGGCAAGCCTCAAGAGGCCTCTGTCCGCCGAGAGCCTCGCTGCTCAGATAGCAACACATGCCAACCACTTCTCTCCCAACACGAACCTACCTCTACCCCCGGTCACCGCAGCTCGACGACTGCCCTCTTCTCCCAGGCCACCGATCGAGCAAGCAGACTTTTCCAGCCAGGAAGGCGGTTCGGCCAGCCCAGAGCAGGCGTCACAAGACAATATCGTAAAAAGTTCACAAGGCAGGGAGAGCGTGGCGGATCTGAACGGGCAAACGGCAACCCCTCCCCCATCTTCCCACAAGGGTGGCCGGAAGCTTGCTCCTAAGCTACAGGACGACAACATGCAGAATGACCATGGCTACGGCCAGCCTGACTTTTCTGGAAACCCACAACATCCCAACATGGCGGCCTTTGTGACTGCTACCGATATGTTCGGATATCCCATGTCGGCTCCGGCCAACGCTTCTGCAAGCTTCTGGGATCCGAGTGCCGACATGTCGGGCATGGAAATCGACTTCTCCTTTGGTCCTAATGTCTTTCAAACTTCGGGACATCGCCATATGCCTTCCTTTGATGCCTCGCAAATGTTTCAAGAGCCTGCTACCCTGCCGCCGTCAGGTAGCCAAGAGACTGCCCAACCCATCAAACGGACACGGCCCCTGGCTCCCAAACCTGTCATGAACAATGTCCAGTCCAGCTCGGCAGACATCTCCATGGTTACAAACTCGTTCTCAACCTCCATGGAGGACCCCTTCGGTATTATGAGTCCCGGCGGAGTCGATCCTGGTGTCCTATTCGGTCGACCGCTATCTGCAAACATGGGTGCAAACATCCCCGTCACACAAGGATCGGCACAGTTTGCCCTTGCAGCGGCTGCAGAATCACAATCGAGAGCGCCTATGCACGGCGATATTCGCCGCTCCCTCAGTACCAAGGAGCTGGGTCAAGGAAGGCCATCCGGTCATGCTTCTATCAATTCCCCGGTCAAAATGAATGGGCGGCTCAATGGACTGCAACGAAGTGCCAGTGAAAATCGTGGAAGACGCGGACTCGCAAAGCCGTCACTGCCTAAGCTCGCTCCAGCCATACAGCCGAGGCCTCAGGTGGCTAATGGTCCCGTAGCTGGCCCAAGTAGGCCACCGAGCCGCCCGTCTGGCAGGATATCGCCCCTGAAACAGCAGCACTCTCGCCTCTCGAGCTTGACGTCGATACCCGAGTCGGCTCCTCCGAGACCTCGCACAGCTGTGAAGTTCACGATTGATTCGAGAGGCAGGGCGCGGGCCGAGACCACCATGGTGATGAATGAGCCGCGACTTGAGGAGGTACGAAGACTACCGGTGACACGGGAAATGCCGCGCAGGGAGAAGAGCTGGGAATCCGAGGATGACGACTCTTCGACAGACGACGAACCAATCATCATTCCCAGCCGAAATACTTCGTTCGCATTACCAGATCCCCGTCGACCGTCGTCGGCTTCCATGTTCCATTCGTCTCGAAGGAGCGTTAGTGAACATAGCTCGAGCAGCTTGGGGGCGTCGGTTTCGCAGCACGAGGCTGAGAGCGAGGCGGAGACCGTGATGAACGAGGCACAGGGAAAGGGGGGGGACGCAGCAAGCGAGCTACGGAAGCTCGTTGAGAGCCGCCAAAAGCGTGGCCATCAGGCACCTGGCAGTCAACGATCACAGCGATTTGCGTCGGGCAGTTTTCAAGATCACCTCGGGGGTATGATGTCACCGACGGGTTTCACGGAGGCCAGCCTACCCTCGCCGACGAAAGCGACGTACAACGTTCGATGCGTCTGCAGGAACAGCACGAATAGACAGGGAGAGTACATGGTCCAATGGTATGATGCCGTCCCCAGCCTGCCTCGTAAAGATGGCCGACTATCACCTATGATGATTCAGCAATGCTAACATTCCACAAGTGAGTCCTGCGAAATGTGGCTCCATGGGTCGTGTATCAACATATCCAAGCGGACACTTCCATCTGTGTACATATGTGCCTTCTGTTCAAACACACCCAACATGCGAGGCGGTCGACTCCGGGGTAATGGCCCGACGCTGGGACCGCCCGGGGCGAGCCCGCTAGCCCGCAAATCATTCAGGTAATACGTGAGTGCATTTTGGAGCACAACGATAATGACCGGCCCCGAAAAGTCGATGACGGCACGTGAGGAAAAGAAAAGGTTTAGAAAGAGAAACGGGGCAATCCGTCATCAGGTCATCTTGGATTATTGATGAGTATATATAATTTCCGAGTACATACCTTGCGGCTTAATTATGAATAACAAACGAGAGGATGCTAAGAAAAGAGAGTGCTGAAGATATCGTGAGATGACTGGAATTATGCAGAGTGACCAAGGAAGCGAGCTGGAGGCGGGTGTACTGATCTTTGGAGTTCTCAGCAAAGGTCTAGCTGGACCTCGCCGGTAGCTCTGACACCAAGGAGACTGGCGATGCTATCGTTGCTGAGCTGACCAAAGTTCTCAAGGCACCAGTGAGAGCGTGAGTAACTCGTATTATGGTTGGTTTACAGTTTCCACAGCACGATCTGAGAGGACCTTTCAACACGCTAATGCAATCTTCCCTGTTGAATTGCGACAGCTTTAAACAATCTGCATTGGAAAGAAGAGTGCTATGCCGACGTGACTTCTGCCGTGCCGCGACTTTCCTACCTTTTTAAGCTTGCAAGTGCTTAACCTTAACTTCCTCGAAGAGACCCTCAACAGAAGGAAGTATTGATGTGCGTGTATCCGTACGCCTGGAGCACAAGTTCAGCCGGCCATCCCGTTAGGGTCCAAACATTTGGAGGTTCATCTCACCTTTTTCCATCCAGGAATTGTGAGGTAGGCTGTACCATTTCAAAAGTCAGCGCGCTCATACACCTTTACACGTCCTTGCAAGATTTTCTACATCAAAGACTGGGAGGGGGGGGGGGGTAAATATAAAGAAGAAGAGGAAGAAACTCACCACACTCCATATACCCATCCCCATTCCTGCCCCCGCAAGCCCTGGCAGCCCACTCGACGGCATCAACCCACTCCTGCACAACACACGGGTTCCCGCCGTCCCGCCCGTTGCCCACGTCCCCGCTTCCGGCATGCGAACACATGTACGCCACCGCATCGCCCCAGTGGCTATAGATTTTCTCGCGGTAGCCGAGGCGTTTGCCGTTGAGGGCGGCGCACTGCGCTGCAAAGGCGTTGCGGGCGCCGTTGGGGTTGGAGTTGAAGGCGGCGGTGGTGATCCAGGGGCTATCGGAGCAGAGGGGTTTCGTGTCGGAGGGCCAGGATGTTGCGTCGCGGCGGGGGAGGTGTGGTGTAAGTGGTGGTGTTGCTTGGGAGAATGGGGAGAGTGTATCTTCTACGGCGTGGATGTCGGGGATACAGGAGACTCGGGTGTGGAGTTCTTCGCCTTCTGGGGTGAGGGTTACGATGTAGGTTCCTTGTTGGGAGCCTGGGGGCACGAGGGTTGAGAGGACTGGTCCGGCTGATGCTATGAGGATGGTTAGGTGGTGGAAGGGCCTGGAAATCATATTTGCTTGCTATTCGTGTCAAGGTCGGGATCAAGAAGCACGTGGTTGCAAGTACATGATGATGTGAGGGGTCATGGGAACGCTTGGAGGGAGGCTTTACTTATACTTCATGTGTCAGAGGTCCGTTATCGAGTTTTGGTGTTTCGTCACATCCGTTCCGTATCTGGCAGTCGCCAGTTCCAAGATCGCGCCGGACAGATCCCGTTGTTTGAGTTGCTGATGTTCCCTACCATCATGGCGGTCACCAATCATGATAAAAGGTAGGGTGGTTATACAAAGCGATGATTGAAACGAAGTGCTCACAGGTACCATATCCAGTCACGAGGTCAGACTCGAGGAACCTGATCGAAGATGCAGCCCAGCACCGCTGACCATCGGATGAGCGAGTGCCACAGGTAGAACGAAGAAAACGAACGATTTCTCGTTGTACATTAATCAGCTGTCTTACTTCCTTCTTACAACCAAGAATGTAGGTTGTGTCTCTTTGGTCTATTGCTTGCCTTCCCACCGTGTCCCATATGTCGTAATTGCAAAACGCCCCTTCCCCCATCTATCATCATCCCCTTTTCACCATACAGGCGACCGTCGTCGGTGACATGTTCAACATGGAGATCAAGTCCTCGTGCTCGTGATCGTAGACCAGCGCGTTGCACCTGATGTTGAACTTGTTCTGCATCGAGTCGTCCACGATGATGGTCTCCTCATCCTCACCGTCTTTGCCGCTAGATCTCACCGAGATGTGCCACTCTGATGGGTCGCGGTGCCGCGGTAGTAGCTTCACCGCGTGGAAGTTTGTCTGTTGTAGTGAAGATACCTGGACAAGCACCTCGCGGTCCCAGGCTTGGCTGTCTGTTACTGCACGGCCCTAGAAAGAAATTTGTGGTGTTAAATCATGCAATGATGAGATAGAAGCGGTGAAGATGGAAAGGAGCATGAGAGCTTGAGCACAAAACGGACTCCAACTTGGAGTCAGGGGACGAGTAATGGAATATGACTACCGAGCACATGTGGTCTATAGGGGAGGAATTACATTTGATGACGTTGGTGAAGAACCGCCACAGTCTGATTTCGACCTTGAACGAGCTTCACTTTGCAGACGGCGAGTACCTCGCCCTGAAGGGTTCATCCTCCAGTCTTCTGAATGCACGACATCGACCGTCTGGAAGTAAATCTTCATCTTTACGAAGCGAGTCGGCGGACGAACGGGGATATCGCGTAGCCTTTGTGGATTATTTGCTGAAAAGGATACACACGCGCGATGTTGGATCACAACTTCATCTGGGGCTCTCTCCGGGACAGGCGGCGGCTTTAAGTCCCCACAACAAACTTCATCCCGCCGGAGGTGGGTAAGTCCCGTTGGGTCGACAGATCCTCGACGCTGCCCGTCTATCGGTACCGGCTTGCGGGGTCCCAAGCGGCGAGGCGTCGTTCTGCAGCCCCGGCGCGCCATCCTTTAGGTCTTACCGTCTTTAGCCAAAGGATTGCCTTTGAATGGCGGTGGACCGTGGGCCGTGTGCCGTGGGCAGAATACCCCACTTGCCTCGGTCTGAACCGCGGCAAGGAATTTTGGTACGAAACTCGGCCGTACAAGAGGACGTTGCTTGATGAACTCGTCCGTACGGGATCTCGCATTCTCGCTACGCATCGCAGACTGGGCCACCCGGATAGATAGTTGGGCCGAAGGCCCCACCGATATGTAGATCTAGAACGTCAGAACCGCGTTCTGGCGAATACGCCGTTGGAAGAACACTACGTAATGACTTACACTGAGTGAGCTGCTAGATGTGGATCGCTGACATACATTCAACTCAGACTTTGATGCGACTGTGAACACTTGCTTTTCATAATGTTGAACGTCTCTTAAGCTGTCGAAGCTGCGGAAAACATATCCCGCCGTGACCTGTCAAATGGCAAGAGATACTGCTGTAGGTATGCGTCGACACATCTTCACCCACTTGCAGCCGGTGGGGTGGTGAGACGAACATGACCAATTGGCAAACAATCGCCTCTTGCGAGGGACCTTCTCCAACTCAGGGCCTCGGTAGTGTACCGTCCAATGTTTGTATAAGTAAAGGTTGAGTGTATCCAATCGGCAATGGATTTCCAGTAATCGGTAGGTCAGATCAACATTTCGGAAACTTCAATCACGCAAACCATTCATACACCGACGCGATGTCTCAGGCCCTCCCTCTTCAGAACAAAGGCATCTTCCGCAACTTGCCAACTTTCCCATCGGATATCACAGACTTGACAGCCCTCATCACTGGCGCCAATGGCATCAGCGGATTCCACACCCTCAGGGTCCTCCTCGACGCACCGCAGCGATGGAAGAAGGTCTGGATAGTGTCGAGAAGCCCCCTCTCGGAGAAGATGATGAGCTTCTTCTCCGCCGAGCAGCAGGCACGCATCGAACACATCTCGCTCGACTTTCTGGCGGACGCGGACGTCATCGCGCAGGGTCTAAAGGAGCGTCAAGTCGCGGCGGACTACGTCTTTTTCTACTCCTACCTTCAACCCAAACCTGAGCCCGGCGCCGCGGCTTGGTCCAACGCCGAAGCTCTCGTCAAAGTCAATTGTATGTTTTCCACACAAGCGCTTTTCCCCGCTCGAGGAGAAAGACCACTCTGGTTAACACTCTTGGCCAGCCGCCTTGCTCCAAAACTTCCTAGGCGGACTCGAAAAGTCCTCCATCCGCCCCAAACGCATCGTCCTGCAGACCGGCGCCAAGAACTACGGCGGCCACATCGGCCAGGCCATCTCGCCGTTCGTGGAATCAGCGCAGCGCGTCACCAGCGAGCCGAACTTTTACTACCCGCAGGAAGACGCCCTCTTTGACCACTGCGCCAGGACGGGCGCAAAATGGAACGTCTTCCGCCCCTCCTGGATCATCGGCGCCGTGGAGAACGCGCAGATGAATGCGTTTTACGGGCTCGGCGTCTACGCCGCCGTGCAGGCTCACCTCGGCAGGCCGCTCGAGTTCCCCGGCACGATGGCGGCTTGGCTCAAGGACCACGCGCACTCGCATGCGCACCTTACCGGGTACCTGTCCGAGTGGGCTGTTTTGAATGAGCATTGCGGGAATGAGGCGTTTAACTCGAGTGATCAGGGGTCGTTTAGCTATGCGTTGTTCTGGCCTGAGCTTGCGAAGTGGTTTGGAATTTCAGAGGTTGGAAGGCCTGAGTTGGATGAGTCGAAGATGCAGACGATTTCAATGCCTGGCAAGCCGCCTATCGGGTACGTGTCTCTCTGATTCGTTGTGAGGATGACGCCCTTAGCTGACTTTTTTCTGTGTCTAGTTTCGGCCCCCGTGCAAGCTTGAAGTTCTCCTGGTCCTTTGTCGCCTGGGCCAAGGAGCCCGAGAACCACGAAGCCTGGAAGGAGATTATGAAGAAGCACAACCTGCTCAATGACCCATTCGAGGACCCCGAGGGCCAGTTCATGTTCACGGACGTCGCTGTGGTGCCAGATGCCTACGGCCGCCTTAGCCCGAATAAGGCCCGCGTGATGGGTTGGAACGGATTCGTTGACACGGCGGAGGGCATCTTTGCGACGTATCGCGAGTTTGGCAAGCTCGGTATGCTGCCGCCGATGGCTGTGGAAGAAGCTCGACCGTTGATCTAAGAGAGGGTGGGGGGAAGCTGTCGATTGTGACGCAGCTCGAGGGGTATATTAGTGTGTGTAGCAGGAAAAAGGATGGAGTGAGTTGATGAGCACGGAAAAGTTTCAATTGGTACTATTTAGTGTGGGAATGGTATTCATGAATGCTTGCTTTTTTTTAACTTCGCGATGGGAAACCGGTCACAGAATGTTGAATCTGATAACACACCCCCAACGGTCTTCGAACATATTGGAGAAATCTCAACTTAGTTTAATTAAACATGGTTATTTTCTATTAAACTCAATTATGTTATGAATGTGACCGGAGGGGCAATGAGAGATAATATAGGCCATGACAGAATGCAACCTAGGGCCTGCAAGACATGAACCGATGTCTAGACAGGGTTGGTTGGGACGGCGCCCGCGAGAACTTGCAGATTGAAGAGAACTCCGAAAGAGATGGAAGCAACTCCTGTGGAGCTCGCCGGCGTCGAAGGGGGGCCAGATGAAGTAGGGGATGGAGTGATGGACGGAGTGGTGGACGGAGTGGTGGACGGAGTGGTGGACGGACCAGGGAAAGCTAGACCGATGGACGGATCGTAGACTCCCCTTGTATCGGAAGTTAACGTAGGCGAGACGACAACAGAAGAGGATGACGACGACGGAGTGAGAGTGGTGAGAGAGCTGGTCAAAGAGCTGGAAGTTGAAATTTGGACGGCTGAGGAGTTGCTTGGTAGGATAGAAGCCGAGGTTGTGGGTACACTGGTCGAGGAGAGAGAGAGCAAGGAGGCGCTGCTGCTGCTGATGCTGAGAAGGCTCGTGGCCAGGCTACTCAGAGATGTGCTGCTCGAAGATGAAGTTGCCGAGCTGCTGGTCAAGGAACTTCCCGGAAAACTGGCCGGAGAGGTTCCAGAGCTGACCGTTGAAGAGCTTCCTAGACTGCCGGTAGACGAGCTAGTGCTACTAGCACATGCCGTGCTGCTGGTGTCTGCGGTAGACGAGCTGGAGCTGGATATGGTGGGCGTAGCGACGGTGCTTCCACTAGAGTTTGAATTGCTTGAACTTGAGGAAGTAAGACTGTCTGTGCTAGATGAAGCCGTGTCAGTGCTAGAGGATGAAGAGCTTGTTGTTGTCGGTGCGTCCGTAGAAGAAGACGAGGTAGAAGAGGACGTTGTTAGGATTAAGGTAGTAGAAGAATCAGTCGAAGTAGAAGAGTCGGTAGAAGTGGGGGAGGCAGAAGAGGGCGTCGTAAGAGTAGGCATGGTTAAGGATGATGAAGAAGACGAAGTTGAAGTGTGACCCGAATGCTCGGTATCACACAGCAAGACAGAACCGTTGAGTAATGTATGTCGAGGTACAAGCATAGCTACTTTCAACGGGCCGTTTTCAAAACCAGTAAAAAGAAGTGGAGTGATGATTTCTCAAGCTTTTGATCAATTGCGGCTCATTTGAAAAGATCGGGACACTTAGAATTATCGGATGAGATGATGGAGATCAACTTTAGCAATGGAGGGAGCCGTCACGTTTGAGGATCTGTGAGAGTTCTACGGGCCGGGGCGATATGTGGTTTTGTCCCTCTTCGGCCCGGTGATTACATGAAATACAGACACAGGCTTCGGTATCAGAAGCGTTTCCTCTAATGAAATCATTTTGTTGCATTCCTCGGCTGATGAGTGGCGAGACAGCCGTCGGGAAGCCGACGTTTGGTTTTACGTGCCAGCGAAGCCCTAGGCCAATGGTCAACGTCATGATACAGAATACTAACGCGCACCAGAGAGATCCAACTATGAATCTTCAAAGTTGCTGAGGGATAGGTCTATAAAGAAGAATGCCCGCTTGCTAGATACCTACTTAAGCTTAAAGGATCAAGGCCCATTCCGAGTACGAGTCTCAAAACCCGACATAAACCAAAGTGGATGTAGCAAATACAGGCAGCAAAACGAGAACTGACCGCCGCAAACGAATAGCCATATTGAAACGGCACAAAAACAATGAAGCTTTCGTTCGGACTAGCATTCCAATCCTAGCCTTCTTTCATCCCGCGGGGCCGGATCAAGGGGGCCGGAGGCGAACGGTCGAGGGACCCGCTTTTCCCGGTGTGAGGGGCGGAGGCGGCATTTCCCCGACCGGTGACTGGTCCGGGGAGCACTGCGAACTGAACTCGTAACGAGTGAGTAGGAAAATGTCGCCTTGAATCTAGGGCTAGAACAAAGCCTTACATTCGAATGCTTTAACTCATGATTTTTTTGGTTCTCATGGCCTCGTAATCAAGTCGCGCCACGGACTTCAACTCAGAAATTTCGTCTGCAGAGTGATTATTCAGCGATGAGCCGATTTCTAAGGTCGAGCTTGAGCGAAAAGGAGACTGCTTGAAATTATCCACCGAAACTACCCACTTCACTGTTATCCGGTGTTCCACGGATTACAAGGGGCAAATGTGACGTTTCTGCGTCTCAAGTGAGAGGAAGTACTACTTAATGATCTGAGATGAACCGTCCAAGTTGTCTCGAGTTTCGTAAAATAACCACAATATTCTACATTATCAGTCTATAATTCGTGTAACAAAAATGAGTTCATCGACGCAACACAAAGTTGGAATTTTCCCCGCCTCTGGGGGTATTGGCGGAGGCACTGCAAAGCACATTCTCCAGCGCCTTTCTCCATCAAACCTGATCCTCATCGCTAGAAACCCCAACAACCTTTCGCATGCACGAGAGCTGGGATCAGACGTTCGACAAGCTGATTACGATGACGACGAATCGATTCGGAACAGTTTTCGCGGAATCAAGACCTTGTTTTTGATCTCGTATGCATCAGTTGAGGTTGAACACAGGTTTGAGGTAAGGCTTTACTATCTGAATGACTTTAACATGTATGAGAGCTAAGAAGATCACGCAAAGCGGCACAAGTTTGCCATCGACACTGCCATTGCAAGTGGTGTGAAGCACATCTTTTATGGGTCGTTGGGCTTTGCTGGATCTGCAAAGAACCAGGAGTCAGTAGCTCACGTTATGAAGGCACACCTCATCACTGAGGGATACCTTCGAGCATGCCGTAAAGAGCATCCCGGATTCGACTTCACGATCGTCCGCGAGGGGCTCTACACCGAGTCTTACCCACTCTATACCTCGTTCTTTGACCCTGCTCGACCTGTCAACGAGATCAAGATTCCTCATGACGGCGCCGGCCCCGGTATCGCATGGGTCAAGAGAGAAGAGCTGGGGGAAGCAACAGCTGAGCTCATATCTCGCTACGTCACAAACCCTGACGGTTTCCCCTACCGCCAACAGACGATTCTCTTTTCGGGAACAAAGACATTGACCCTGTCGGAAACAGTCAGCATCCTCAGCGAGATCGCAAAGGTTCCAGTCCAAATCAAGCAGGTTTCGGATGATGAGTTCGCCTCTCAGGCTCAGGTAATTCCTAACTTTACCTACCGTGGAGTTGACTACTCGAAGCCGTGGGCTTCGGCCTTTGAGGCGTTTCGTAGGGGTGAGGCGGCTGCTGCGTCACCGTTGCTGAGTGAGCTTTTGGGAAGAGAGCCGGAGGGTTTCAAAACCACCGTGATGAACTCTCTCAAAGCCTAGATTAGGAGTTGAGTAGCCTAACAAACAAGCTGGTTTCTTTCGTATGCATTCATGCGCCTAGTCACATTATCGTTATCTTAGTCAAGGTGAAGGTTGGGGGTGATTAGCGATCGAATTCGCGCTTGGAGATGAAGTAACCTATAGCTCAATTGTGATGCTGCTACACTTTCCTAGCGTATGACGCATCAAAGAGATTGCAACGACTATCGATCACATTTGAATCTGTCATAGATACTCCGTCCCCGACAACACCACCCAAGTTTCCCAGATCCATCGCCCCAGGCTTGCCAGAAAATTGCGTCCACGCAGGCACTCCAGGTCCATTGGCGGGGTTCTTGGCAAAGTTGGCCCATGCCGTCTGCATGAACTTGCTCAAGGCAAGAGCTTGATCAGGTGTTGCCGGCGGCGGCGGGAGATTGCCAAAGACGAAGCTGATCTCAGAGCCGTGTACCGGGCGAGACAAGATACCTCCGGGTGTTGGCGGGAACGAGGTGGAGTTGAAGAGATATCTCCAAGTTGGCACACCGGCTTGGGCCGAAAGACGAGCTTCATGCGCAATGCTGCAGCTCCAATCCAAGTCCGTAGCGAATTGTGTAATTGCATCCTTTGGAGTTGAGAAAGGCATCCCGGCTCCGACTGGATATCCGGCAGTCACAGCTTTTTGCAACGCATCGTCGCCAGGAAATGTTGCTGCGACAAAGGCATCCAAAGCGGTCGGTGGCTGACCCATCGTGAAGATTTCGGCTTCTCTGAGGTTCGTTCCTATCATCATGGGTATCTTGGAAACCTTGCCGGAAGCCCGTGTAGCATCAGGTGAGGTCGGTACGTTTGCATCTCCGTCGGCTACAGGTGGGAAGTTGAAAGGACCTTTAGAGAGTACGGACACAAGGGCGTCGACCGGAGCGGCTCTAACGCAATCAAGCGGCTTCTGGCTGCCGCAATTGAGCGAAGCTGCAAGAGTTTGAAATGGGGTCGTCATGTTTGGTCTGCCCAAGAGGCCGGTCATGAGTCCGACGATATCTCCGCCTGCTTGGGGTCCAGTTACGAGATATGCGGTTCCAGACTCGGTGATCACCGCACGGAACGGGGGCTGGGCACCGCTTGTGAGTAGTAAGAGGTCGACTGATGAGCCACCAGCTGACTCTCCGAATAAAGTCACCTTATTTGGGTCACCACCGAAGGCTTTGATGTTACGCTGAACCCATTGAAGCGCTAGTTTCTGGTCCATAAGACCGACGTTGCGCATTTGCTGAGGTATGCCCTCGACATCGCCTGGGAATCCGAAGACTGCAGTCAAAATAATCAGCAACGCCCACCTCCAAAGGCATAAGGGTGCTCTCTCTCATCAACAATGGTTACTCACCACTCGTCCGGTAGTTTGGCGTCACGACGATCACGTCTTGATTCTGTGCAAAGCTCGAGCCATCGAACATCGGTGTGTTGGCAGAACCAAATTGAAAGCCCCCGCCATAGTACCATACCATGACAGTTCTTCCTTCGGCGGGTGGAGGAGAAGAAGGTGCGTAGACATTGACGAACAAGCAGTCTTCGCTTTCAGGACCGGACGGCATCATGGCAGCAATCGCAGCTTTTGAAAGTCAATGCCATGATCAACCGGAGTAAAGCCCCAGACGAGCTCCGATGTGTGTTAGGGGACGTTCACTCACCAGGTATAGCCTGAATACAGGATGGAGCGAAGGCTGTCGCGTTGATTACGTCGTTGTGAGGCGCCATCGAAGCAGGCGCCGGTGGTGCAAAGCGTTGTGGTGGTGCCGCATACCGAATGCCCAAGAATTTGTTGACGCCATTCGCTGTCAAACCAGAGTATGATCCATCGTCCAGCTTGACTTGTACTGGTTGTTGCGCATTCACAAGTGTAAGTAAAGTAAGCAAAGTAATGCCGATAGTCGTCGATCGAGGAGACCAGCCCCTTCGTGAGAACTCCATGGTTGGCTTATTAGTACGTTACACGGCCGGAATTACGAGATTAAAAGAGAGTTTATCGTTGTCAATGTTCGTTTCAATCTCGCAGTCTATCGACATTTCACGAGATCTGGGCTTAGTTCCTTTATGTCTTCGACCCTCAACAGGGTTTAACTTGCTTTTCTCGGGTTTTCCGTAGCCTTTCCATGTTCCAACTATGTACTATACGCAACTTGGCACTATCGTAACGTAGCAGATCATTTTCCTTGAGACCCAGGCTTTTGGAGAGAAAATAAGCTCGGTGGAGAAGCCGCAAGGAAGACCCGAAAGCTTGGATTCGGCCCATTATTTAATTGGAGAGAATCGACGGACGAAACCTCAAGTGGCACGGTGAGCGGGTGTACCGGTGGGATGAACAAACTTGTTGATATCCACAGGAAGTCTATTCGTCGCGTCCACCCCGCACGTGTCGTTTCACACCTTTGCCAGGTGGACGGCCGTCAAAATGGGTAATGGCGAACGACAGCTATAATGCGTTGTGCTACATTTCACTAGCAATGCCCAGAGGCTGAAATGATGGCTAAACGGAAGACCCGGCTCTTACAAGACTCATGATAAGCATTGGGTAATGAAACATATTCAGCCGCAAGAAACGAGGAATGATTTTGAGGAGTGGAAACGGGAAGGAGAGCTCCGAGAGCCCCATGGGTAAACCGAAGTGTTTGCGTCTATTGAATGAATGGGGACTTCCCTCGCGCAAACATCACATGCGGGTGTGACTAGATTTCGGGATTGTGTGAATAGTCTTGATTTCACAGAGAGAAGCTCCATCAGTTTGTCATTCCTCTCTATTTCGCTTGTCCGGCGCCCAGAACACCACTCACTGTCGCACGAACCGGCGCCGAAACAGTCCCACTTGTATTACCGGACGCGGCTTTGGCCGACCCGCTTTTTCGGCCGGCCGACCGCGGGCTTGTCTAAGGGCTATGCGCTTGTCCTCAGGTGCTATAAGTGATGAAGCAGCTTAGAAACATGTCAAGGCGCTATGTATAACCTCATAGTGAGGGCAGGTCTGTTATACTAATGTCCAACTTAGACAGGCGAGGAGTCAACAAACTTCTTGCGCAATGTCATCGCCCTCCTTAATGCGTACTAATATTGGACCATCTTTGAATCAAGTGCGTGGAGCGGATGATATTGGCGCTCATAGACAGCATGGTACTATCTTGTCGCATTTCACTTTGCTCATTATCGGGGCATTCATGTGTTCTCAGCAATACTAGCTTAAGATGGGGATTGATTGGATGAGACTACCCGCTGTTCCCATCGTAGTCTGTGAAGAGATGGACCTGGCAAATTAAGAGCGTTGCGCGACTTTGCTTTCACCTTGCGAAGAGGAACACGGACGAAGGCGTTGCACATCAAGGTCTATTGCCGTCCTTTCACGTTGGTGTCGGAATAAAGGGTGTAAGCTGACCACATTATCTCCGAGTGGATTGCCCTACGCCAAGGCCGCCAACCAAAGCTCATCGGTTCTTTTAAACTTCACCAGTCCGCCAAGGACCGACTATAACTCCGCCAAGTAACGCTCAGTAGAAAATTGCAGGCTGTGCTGGTGAGCAGCGAGTCGACAATGGGTTTAGCCTCACATGACCGGAACCCTGCTAACTCATTGCAGATGGAAAACTCACCATAGTTCCGGTATTTGTTCTACAAGACAGACTGCTACAATGAAGGATTCATGATCTGGCCTCCTCAGCCACCAATTTTCGCGTTTGTCACAGCATGCGCAATGAGGACCTGGACGGTGATGATCAAAACTTGGCAGACACTATGACGACGCTTCTAAGTTGTGCGTCCAATGCTGGATACATGCTTCTCGCGGTGATGCTTTGCACACTTCAAAAAACCACTGTTGCAAAGGTCTTGGCATCATGATACATAAAAGAACACTGTCTAGCCGGTGTAATTCATTGCTTCAATACAGCAGATACAAACACAGCAGTCAAACGTTCTTCAGACACGATGATGAAGCTTCTTTCTTTCGCCTTCTTTCTACCCCTCAGTGGCAGCGCAGCTGGAAGTCCTCTCAACGATACAGCATATGACTATGTTGTAGTTGGCTCAGGACCTGGAGGTGGCACTCTGGCGTAAGGATATCGCCTCCGACTACGCTCTTAATGCTAACATTTCTCAGCGCAAGCCTTGCACGCGAGGGCCATTCCGTCTTTCTCATTGAAGCTGGAGGCAATATGGGTGATGATCCTCTTCAACAAATTCCCGGCTTGTGAGTTTCCAGACCGCTCGATATACAAAGCCATGTGCTTATACTTCACAGAGCGGATGTCAACTCGGAGGACCCCGCCATGTCTTGGCAGTTTTTTGTGTCTCACTACCAGAATGAGACTCAAGCCCGTCGCGATCGTTACTTCACCTACCGTCTTTCAAATGGCACACTCTGGTACGGCATTGATGCCCCCGAGGATGCAACTCCGTAAGTCATGCACTAGACCGTTGCTTGGTAAGTCATTAACCACCGGTTCAGACTTGGCATATACTATCCCAGAGGAGCTACGGTTGGTGGTTCTGCTATAGCGAATGCTATGAATGTGGTTCTTCCACCCGACAGTGACTGGAACCACTTCGCCGAGGTTACAGGAGATGAGTCCTGGGGCCCTGAAAACATGAGATCAATGTTTATCGAGCTTGAGAGAAATACCTATACGCCTGAAGGGACGCCAGGGCATGGTTTTGATGGGTATATTTCGGTACGAGGAGCTCATCAACCGCAATGACTATATGACTGACAGGAGATAGACGAATAGAAACCACATTTCTTACGTTGTCGATCGTCCGGGCGTACTTCGTGTGGTCCAGAATGCCATCTCCCAGACCGAGGGCATTGAAGCACCCGACCCCGAACAAGTCATCGAGCTAATGGAGAGAGACCTGAACCGCCCTGATAGCAATCGGTACGAAGTCCCGGGCTTGTACCAAATACCACTACACGTTGACGAGAACCGCCACAGAAGCAGCCCCTGGAATTACATCACGGATACTCTCGCTTCGAAACATGAAGATGGAACGCAGCGATACCCGTTGACCTTGAGCACTCACAGCCTCGCGACTCGCATTCTGATGAAGAATGCTGAGGCCGGCTTGAGAGCCTACGGGGTAGAGTTCATGGTTGGAGAAGGACTTTATGAGGCCGATCGGCGATACGACCCCTCGGTCGAGCCCCAAGTGCGCACTGTCAGGGCTAAGAAGGAAGTCATCGTCTCAGGCGGTGCATTCAACACCCCTCAGCTTCTCAAGCTCAGTGGAATCGGACCTCGAGAAGAGTTGGAGAGATTCGGCATCCCAGTTGTTGTTGATCTTCCTGCCGTGGTAAGCATCGGCCTCCTCATAGGACTTCTCTTCATGCTAATGAACCTCTTAGGGGGAGTTCCTGCAGGACAACTACGAGGCGGGCATCAACGTTCGGTCAAACATCGTGTGGGAAAATAGCCCCTTCGCACAATGCACGCCTGGTAGCCCCGAGACAGATCCCTGCCTTGCACAATGGGAAGCCGGCTATGGTGCATATGGCGAGGCCGCCGCCCCAATTTTCATGCTGCATCGTAGCAACCAATCCAGAAACGCAGACTGCGACCTCATCATCTTTGGTGCGGCCGGTGGTGTGTTCGACGGTCACTATCCCAGGTTCAGCGAAGTTGCATGGCCGCCTACATCCTTCTTCTGGGCCGTCGTGAAGATGCAAAACGGCAATCCGACAGGCACCGTGAGACTTCGATCGTCCAACCCCCGAGAGACCCCGGAGATCAACCTGAACTTCTATCAAGAAGACGCCGATGTCGACATTGCTGCTCTTTCCGAGGGCATTGAACATCTCATGTCCATCATGAACGTCACTGGAGAGCCGTACCGGCCCTTCCAGGTCATTGATCCCCCGGCAGACCGTTCACTTGAGCAACATATCCGGGATAACACTTGGAGCCATCACGCAGCCGGCAGCTGCAGGATGGGCAAGACAAACTTGGACAGTTGTGTTGACTCAAAGTTCCGAGTTCATGGTGTTCAGGGACTTAGAGTTGTTGATGGCTCAGTCTTCCCGAGAGTGCCCGGCGGGTTTCCTGTTGGTGCGACATATGCTGCCAGTCGTAAGGCATTCCATGATATAGTCAGCAACGAAGGAAAGTGACCGTGTTCCCTGTCTTGTCTGTTGTTATTTGATTCGGACTGAGCTTTCACAACGATATGGCTATGGGTGCTTTTTTTGTTCTTTATCACCGGAAAGTCAATAGAGGATTGTCATAAGTAGCCGCACACACACACATTTATGACTTAGTATGCAGTGTCTGTCTCGTTTTAAAAGTTCACCATTGGCTTTTTAATTGCTTTGGAGCCCACAGGTGATGTTTGAGAAGACTCTAGCTTAGTGACAATGCAGTCATCTCGCTCCTAAGGATGGTGTTCAAGCAACCACTCTGAGTAAAAAAGCATGCTTTATTAAACAAGAAGATAATAGTAGAGAAAAATAAGACTGTCGTAGCGTTGAACGCAAGCTCCCGTGGTTGAGTCCAACCTAGAAGCTCCGTTCCATTGTGTCACCACCAAGAAGTGAAATGGACCTGCCCCCTGGTCCAAAATAAGCCCATCCTTAGTCGTTCAAAGACAAACCGACAGATCATTTAGTTGAGTTTGAGGCCCTCGTAGCGGTCGATGGTAGTGGTGATAGTTCCGGTGAGCATGCCGGCCTGTACTTGGAGGTCGGTGGCTCTGCTCTGCACGGCGCTGATGAGGGCAAAGGCGACAGACTTGGGGAGTACGAGGGTCAGCCACCACTTTTCTAATCTTTGAAACTATGAAGAATCCTTGAAAGGCGGGCAGGCGGGAGGGTGAGGCTCACATCGACAACATTCTCGACCTGTCTGAGGACGGCAGCAATAGGTGCACCGATAAGGGGTACAGTCGAAAAGAGACCGGCCTTGCCGATAAGCACGTTGAGAAGCACCTGATGGATG